GAGATGAAGCGGGAGGAGGAGGAAAAGGTGGTGGTGGTGGTGGTAGAGAATAACTTGTGGTGGTGGCGAGGGAAGTGGTGGCGGTGGTGATTCGTACACTCCACCTATTGTAGGCGGAATAGATATCTCGGATTCAGGAGGAGACGTCTTCTCGGAAGTTGATGGTGCCGGAGCCTTTGATCCTTCTGGAGTTTTCGGCATCTTGGGTGTAGGTGCTTCTTTGGGCGTTGGAGCTGGAGCTGGCTCAACCTTTGTTGGTGGCTTCACCGGTACCGGACTTGGCGTCTTCGCCGGAGCTTCTGGCTTTTTCTCCGATTTCCCGGGAGCATCTTCTTTCGGGGGTGATTTCACCGGAGCATCTTCTTTCGGGGGCGATGGAGTTTCTTCCTTAGGAGGGGATATCTTCGATTTCGATGGAGTTTCTTCTTTTGGAGGGGACCCATTCGATTTTGATGGAGTTTCTTCCTTTGGAGGAGAACCCTTCGATTTCGATGGAGTTTCTTCTTTGGGAGGAGACACCTTCGACTTGGATGGAGTTTCTTCCTTAGGGGGCCCCTTCGGTTTAGATGGCTTAGGTGCACCTCCATCAGAGGGTGCTCTGCACGCGACACTGCAATCGACCTTCTTGCTCAACACCGATCGGCACTCCTTTTCGGATCTCTGGTTTTTCTCCCCCGGGAAGCAATTCTCCTCCTCGTCGATCACAACCTCCGGCAAGGCACTCGGATAGCAATCTTCATCCTTGTCCTCGAAATAGTTGTACGAGTACGTGAAATTTTGCAAGCTCGGCAAGCTGCAGACGCTGTCCGGCACCTTGCTCCTGAACTTGTTCCTCGCAATGTTGATAATTTCCAAGCTCTGCAAGTACTCCATACCCCTTGGCAAATCTCCGAAGAAGCTATTCCTGCTGATATCGAAAACCGTAGTGGTGTTCAACAACGTGATCTCCTCCGGCAAGCAACCGGAGAGATTGTTGTGCGACAATATCAACTCGTCCAAATTCCCCGCCATGTTGCCAATGCTCTTCGGAATGCAACCCACCAACCTGTTGTCGGAGATCACCACCACCGACGCCGGCGAGTTACCGAAATTCTCCGGTATGACCGACGTGAACCTGTTGTGGTTCAAGAAGATCGCATCGAGCTCCTTGTCAAACACCTCGGGGGGCAACGGACCCTCGAAGTCATTATACCTAAGATCTAGGTACTTGAGCTCGGGAAGCGTAAGGACCACCTTGGGAAACGGACCCACGAACCGGTTGTTGCTCAGATCGAGCTCATAGAGGATCTTCAGATTCCTGATGGTGTCAGGCACCACCCCGCAGAAGCGGTTCGAGTTCAGATGGAGGAGACTGATGTCACCCAACTCCCCGATCTCTTCGGGGAGGTGCCCCGCGATGTCACCGTGGTTCAGGTCGATACCTGCAACCACGGTGACGTTAGCGTCGTCGAGCGCCTGCTCGCAGAAGACGCCGTTGTAGGCGCAGACGTCGGGGCCGACCCAGTTACCCGTGAAGTTATTCGGGTCGGAGTAGATCGCCATCTTCCATGCCTGGAGGGCTTTGTAGGCCTTCTCGAGCCTCGGATTGCCGAACGTTAGATTGCAATCAATGTAGGCGTTGTAGCCGTCAGGGAGATCACGATCGAAAGTTGCAGCAGAAAAGGAGAGACACGAGAGCGAGACGAGGAAGAAAAAGCAGCCGAAAGCTTTCATGTTGAGAGGGTTTGCCATTTGCGTGCAAATTGCATGCAATACCCTCCCTAGGACAAAAGCCCAAGGCTGCTTATAGTAGGATTATGTTTGGAACAAGAACGAGGGTGTTATATGGGAGTGGAGGAGGATCTTTCTTTAACCCTACCTTTTTTTTAAAGGGTGGATACCCTTACTCTGCGCATCCCATTTTTTCACCACCCTTGAATTTTTTTCTACTGTTTAATCACCATCCAAGAAAATTACTCTAATTCCCATGGATTTCTCTCGGCTCAAAAAATAATTAAAAAAATTAAAAATAACAACATTATTTATTATATAATACAATGTTACCCATGAGTTTACTAATTTGCAAAACCCCCCCTATAATGTTTGTTTTTTCTAGCAAACACCCCCTAAATATTGAGCTTTTGGGGGATTTTGCTAGTTTTTATAACACGAGGAGTTTTTTTTAGCAATTTCGTCACTAAATGCAATAGAACCCCTTATTATCGTACTAACTACACAATCCTTAAACGAAATCATAAATCGAAATTACTACATTACCTAAGTTTTTTTTTTATATATATATACATACATTGAAAGTTGGTGGATGTCAATCGGTCTCGTGCTCGGGTGCCTGCGAGTACCAAGCGGGGTGGGTTCCTCTGGCTCGAAGCAATCTAGTGAAGGGCGAATCGGGCATTTTAGCGTTCTCTTCTTCCTCGAGCTCTTCGGATGTTTTCGGCAATCCGTCGGGAACCGGGCGTGGATTTTCTGCTCGTGTGTTTTCGATTTTAGTCAGCTTGAGTGAATCGGTGCTTTCTTTTTTCTCTTTGTGAATGGCTGCAACTCCGTGCACGCATCCGATTAGTGATTTTACACCACCGGCTTCCATTATCAGCTTTTCCACTTCCTCCTTCGGTGCCTCTTTCTGAATCATAATAATAATTCATTTAATTTAAACCATAAGTTTGATGCTGAAATAATTCAAGAAAAAAGAATCCGAGTTCTTTCGATTTCGAAAAAGAAAAACTACTTACTTCAAGATCTTTGAGTTCAAAATAGGCCTCCCAGCAGCTATAGGAATCGTCTCCATCGAGCGTTACACAGTAATCTGAAACGAGTCGAATCGAGATAAATGATAAATATATTACAATACATATCATTGAAGAACAGATCAAATTAGTACAGCTTAACTATTAAACACATGTATATATACTCGGACTTAACGCATTACCACTATTCAGTTTTATTGACTCGACTCGTAAGTCATTCGGTTGACAAAACCCCATCCTTGCTCAAACCAGCTAAAAATTGAAGCTCGCAATTAAATTCTATTATTTGAATTACCACTATTCAGTTTTACTGACTCGACTCGTAAGACGTTCGGTTGACAAAATCCGTCCTTGCTCAAACTAGCTAAAATCGAAACTCCCAATTAAATTCTACTATTTTAATTTTCCCTTAAAACTATATCTTAGTTTTGTAAATTAGGAGGTTTTATACAGACAAATCATATAACAATAATAATAAAATTTAACAGATTTAATACAAGACCTAATCTAAGGAACCGACTCCAATTGACATCTAATTCAAATTAATTGGATAATACAGTAGAACCTCGACAAAATTAATTTAATATTTCACTAAATTAATCACTAAATTCTACTATTTCAATTTTTATCCTTAAAAGTTAAAACTATATCTTAGTTTTGTTAATTAGGAGGTTTAATACAGCCAAATCATATAATAATAAAATTCAACAGATTTAATAAAAGGCCTAATCTGAGGAACCGAATCCAATTGACGTCTAATTAAAATTAATCGGATATAAATATACGGTAGAACCTCAATAAATTAATTTAATATTTCACTAAAAAAAATTACTTTAATCTAATACAAGTATTATTAAATAATAAAATAAGAAGTCAATACTAAAAAAACACTTGCCTGCAATTTGATTTTCAGATTTCTGAATCAAAGGGGGGTTCCTTAAAGGAAGCTCTATCAAACTTGTTTCTGCTGAAAGGCTCCAGCTTCGGTATCGATTCATCGTTTCTCGAAACAGAGTAACAAACGGCGGAAGAAACCGACGCAGAGCTTCGCGAAGCAGCAGCAGGTTTCGAGTAATGGGGGAAAACATTCGGTTCAACGAGAAAAGTGCGCATCGAACAATTCAATTGAGCTGTTTGAATCATCTCTTCTTCTTCGAATTTTGTTTTAATGATTTTTTTTAGTGCGTGTTTGTGTGTGTTATAAGGAGAGGGTTGTGTGTGAATTATGATCAACTTGTTGGGAAAGGAATCAAACGGAGAAGTGGCGGATAAGGATGAGATATTTTTATATTGTTTTTTTTCTTTGACATTTTAAATGGTGGGGTGATACTGAGGACTGGTGTTCAGGCAAGGAAGATGACGGACGGATCTCCACCGTTCGTGAGATGAGAATTGATTTATCTGATTAAAAATTCATTTTAGCACTTTGCACCCTCGAAAAATAATAATAGCACTTTGCACCCTCAAAACACAATAAATCATTCACAATGCACCCTCAATTGAATAATAAAGGCAATTTTATTTTTCATTGGTGTTTTTCTTTTTAGGGTACAAAATAAAAAAAAATTGTTGTTTTCTTGAACCTCAAACCTAATTTCGAGCGGACAAAGTGCGAAAAAATAAAAATTACACCGGATTATTTAAAAAAAACTACATTATCTTACAAAAGAAAAAAAAAAAAAAAATCTTTTATCACTAAATTATTCGATTGTGGATCTTTTATGTCACTGTTTGTAAAATATTAGGTTAAAATATTTGGAAGAAAAAATATTTTTCAGATAACTTGATAACGTAATAGCTGAATGATTTTTTTTCGTAAAATATTTTATTTTGATAAAACAATATAATTTTTAAATATGTTGATGGAATGTATTTTTATTTTTGAACTTTATAGTTTTAAAATGATTGATGAATAAAAAAAATATTTGACATTTGGCATCCTAAAAAATATCACTACAAATATTAAATTTATATTTTTTAGCTTTAAAAAATCATTTGGGGTGCATTATGCATGATTTATTGTATTCCGAGGGTGCAAAGTGCTATTAATTTATTTCAAGGGTGCAAAGTGCCAAAATGGTATATTTCAAGGGTGCAAAGTGGAATTAAGCCGTGTGGAAACTGGAGAAACAAACAACGGGCGGTTTTAGATGTTTCCATGGTTTTCTCTCTTTAAGATATTTTGGGCTGGGCCCCATCTCTTCTTATCCGTTTCTCCCTTGGCCCAAGTGTTGTAATTTTATTTATTTATTTTATTTTTCTGCTTTTGCGGACTGAGATTGTTCGTGCTGGAGTATTGTGAGTCGGATAACGGTTGGCAACCGACTTCGTCAATTGTCGAAACATATCGGTTACAAATTATCGACAACATGTCTATGTGCAAAAAGAAAAAAACAAGATGGTAGATACAAAATTAAAAATATTAGTAGAATAAAATATCATAAATGCAATTTAAATATTACTTGGTATAACTTTCTTTTTTTGTGCAGAGACAATTTTAGAATAAATTTTATAACTGATGTGAAACAAAGGTTAAGTAGACTCGTAATTTAGTTCTAGTAAATTATGCGAGTATCTCAAGGCCCAACAAACAAACATATGATAATTACCATAAAAAGGCACCAAGTTATGGAATTAAAGGTATCTATTTAATTAACTTCACTAATTAATTTGTGTAATTATTCACAATCAAAACATTCCAAATACATTCCACAACATATGTTGGACGACTTAATTCTACTTTGTACCCTTGAAATATACCATTTTGCACTTTGCACCATCAAAACAAATTAATATCACTTTGCACCCTCGAAATATAATATATTATGCATAATGCACCCTGCATGTTTTTAAAAATTATATTTTTTTTATCACAAAATAGTATTTTACGAAAAATAATTTTTTTTATCTATTTCGTTATCAAGTTATCTGAAAATCATATTCTTTAAAATATTTCTACCTAATATTTCCACCAATTACAATGAAAATCTATTAATCGAATAATTTATTGATAAAAGTTTATTTGAATTTATTTTGTAAGAAAATATAACTTTTTTCAGTTATGCGATGTGATTTTTATTTTTTTTTCATTTTGTGCGCTCGAAATTAGGTTGGAGGTTGAAGAAAATAACAATTTAATTTGTTATTTTGCACAAAAAAAAAAGAAGAAAACCCGATAAAAAAATGAATTATTCTTTATTATTCAGTTAATGGTGCATTTTGAATGATTTATTGTCTTTTACGATGCAAATGCTATTTTTACTTTCTGAAGGGTGCAAAATGACAAACGGTTCCATTTCAAGGGTGCAAAGTGGGATTAAGCCTATGTTGGACTACACAAGTAAGGGCAAAACCGTCATTCTCCCGACAGTACAACAAGGCACAGGCTAATGGTGACATGTAAAACTAACATTACGACGTCGTTTAATTTCCTCCACCACGTTCGTCCTCGTCAACAGTGATTTACTAGAAAGGGGAACCGAGATTAGGAGAAATCTCCAGTTAAGAGACGATCAAACAAATCGTATTTAATTCGGCCTTCTGGATTCAAGATAGCTGCTGCTTTTTTTTGTTGCTATTGTTATCCGAAATCGGGAAGAAAGTTTCGCGGATTTTTTTTTTTTGGTAAATTAGGTTTTTGGATTTTGCCAAATTGGGTTTTGCATCATTCAATTGTGAAATCTTGTACGTAAAATTGAGTTCTAGTCAGTAATAAACGGCACACCTAGGGTTTCGAGAATTATGAAGAAGGCGATGGATAGCTTACAAGATCTGATCGAAGAAGCTAAGCTTCGCACCGTGTGGTGGATTCTCTGTATATTCGCAGTTTCTTATTTCTTAACGCGTAAGCTTTTAATTGTTCCCTTTTCTTTTTTGCTTTTCATCTGTGTTTGAGTTACTGTGTTACGAGTATGACAATGTTTTGTGATCATATGTTGTTTTGTTAAACTGTGGTGTTTGGTGGAAGAAGATATTGAACTTGCCGTGTACTGGTTTAGTTTTAATTTTAGTTTCGTATCTTTCTTTCGATTGGGGTTTAATTTGCATTCGGTGATATTGTGTTTTTGTGAGATACTCGTGTTACTTCTTATCTATTTTGAAGGAAGGGAACTTTTGGTAGTTGGGTAGGATTGGCAATAGTTGAGTGAGATGATGGGGAGGAATGTTTTCTGGTAATGTAGATGCATGCAAAATGTATGAATTGCTCATAAGAGTTTATTATTGTTCAACTGCCATTTTATGTTTCTTCTTTGGTATAATTTCATAAGAGCTAGTTTTAGTGACTATAAATATCTCTATTGTTTATTTTTTTTGTTATGAGATTCGTTTTTCTTGGGAAATTCATCAGACCTTTTAACAAATTTTTGATGTATTTTTGTGGGACCTCTTCTGCAAGTAAAGTTTGTTCGAGCCTATTCATACTGTAGACCTAACCAGTTCTCCGGATATATATGTTGATTGCATTGCAGATACCAGTAAATCAATGTTAATGAATATTCCCATAGCCATACTTTTGGTCTCTGGACTAAGAATATTGTTGAATGAGGTTGAATTCCGATGGAAGGTTTGGAATAACAGACCAACATCCTACTTGTCGCACTTAGAAAAGAAGCAGCTATCTGTGAATGATTCTCGCCTTACTACCCCGCCTCCCCCGCAAAAATGGAAAAGAAAAATAGATTCTCCTGCTGTGGAAGCAGCTATTGAGGATTTCATCAACAAGCTTTTGCATGATTTTGTAGTTGACCTGTGGTATTCCGAAATTACGCCGGACAAAGAAGCACCGGAGTTAATACATGCTATAGTCATGGATGTTCTTGGTGAAGTAGCTGTAAGATTGAAAGAATTGAACCTTGTTGACCTGTTGACAAGGTATCATTTCTGTACTTCATTGAAGTTGTGAACTGGTGCAAGTCGGATAAATGATGATATGAGTAATTTGCTGTTTTTTCTTCAATTCTCCAGGGATGTAGTAGACCTGATAGGAGTTCACCTTGATCTCTTCAGAAGAAACCAGGCTGCTATAGGTGTGGATGTCATGGGAACATTGTCTTCTGAAGAAAGGGATGAAAGGTTGAAACACCATCTCCTAGCCTCTAAGGAGCTTCACCCTGCTTTGATATCTGCAGATTGTGAGTACAAGGTGTAGAAGTGTTCTAATTCAGACGGAATTGTTTGCTTAACTACCTTTTCCTTTTCTCTTGGTTAGTATAATGACATCTAACTCTTCTTAATATATAGGTTCTTCAGCGGCTCATTGGTGGACTTTTAGCTGTTGTGTTGAGACCAAGGGAAGCCCAATGCCCTTTAGTTCGATGCATTGCTCGTGAACTCCTAACTTGTTTGGTAGTGCAACCTATTATGAACTTTGCAAGCCCTGGGTAAGATATATTCCTCTAGTTCCTTTTGTTTTAAAGAGAAATCTTAGCTAGTTTCAGATTCTGTATAAAGGGCTTTCAAATTTTAGGTTGTATCTCATGCTTGCAACTTTGCCCCCTTGTCCCCCTTAAGTAGGCAACCATATTGTTTCTTTGTGCAATTTCCGTTCAGGAATGTGACCAATTCAGTTTCTTTTCTCCAGGTATATTAATGAGTTGATTGAATATGTTATCCTTGCCTACAACAGTGAGGGCTCAAAGGACGCTGCCACTGATCAATCACCTAATGTGGAGGGTCGTAATCATGAGCCCAGTGTTTCTGGAGACCATAGTCAAACCAGCGAATCTAATTTGAGGAAAAAAGTACACTCCGACAATCAAGGGGCTGATTTGTCATTGTCTTTGTCTCAGTCCGATCATAAAAGGGTATTAGAGCCAGGTGGCTCAGGAGATCTCTCATCAAGTACATTGCAGGATGACTTCACACACACACGAACTGAGTGGGCAAAAGGGTTTGAGGCAGCAACCCAGAGAAGAACAGAAGTTCTTATGCCTGAAAATCTTGAAAACATGTGGACAATCGGAAGAAACTACAAAAAGAAACTTGAAAAGAAATCTGCTCCAGGAATTCAGGCTGCTGAAGTTACATATTTGGTCAGCGGAACATTTCCTACGAAACGTTTGGTCAGTGAAGTGCCAAAACAGAAGCTTGAAACATATGTTCAGATAGAAGACAAAGTTTCTATGCAATTACCACCCAGGCCCCAACAGGATAGTCGAGCCGCTGGTCTCAGTATTAATCCTTTAAGCAGTTCCCAAAAGCTTAATGATGAGGTGTTTCCAAAAGGAAGCTCTAAATTTGATGAACTGGAGAATACTGCTGCTGTTGTTTCCCATGAAAATAGAAACAAGCTTAAAAGATCAAACAGCACTTCTGACTTGAATGTTCAGTCAAACTTGGAAAATATGTTTGTTAGTAAAGACAGTACACCCATCATTAATGAATACTACAGTGCAGATGGGAAGAAACTTAATGTACACAGTCTGATGAGCCATTCAGACATGGGATTACGTCGTGAAGGCCTTCAAAATCCAAAGCTTCGATGTCGGGTAAAACCACTGATTTCCCTTTTGTGGTTCATAAATTACCGAATTTGACCTTGTATGTGTTTCAAATGATCATGTTATTAAAGATGAGTGGTTTTAGATGCAGTCTTCACTTCCTTGTTCAAAAAGATAGTATTACTTATTTTTTATGATATTACAATTTAGATGAGGAACTTCTCCATGGAAGACTAGTATGTTAATTCAATACCGTTTTATCCTTATAAGGTTGATATTTTAATGTGCAATCAATGTAGTGATAACTTCACGTGCTATCGATGTAGGAAAAGTATTTCACTAGTGAATACTATAAAGGTAATTGGCTGTATTACAGAATCACCTATATCTGACCTTGAGGCTTGAGATTATAGGCATACTTCTGATCACCTATATTTATTGTTATCTGATGATACTCTGTGCTTTTACTGACGAGATTCTTGATTGTGCAGGTCATAGGCGCGTACTTTGAGAAACTTGGGTCAAATTCTTTTGCAGTTTACTCAATAGCTGTGACCGATGTTGACAACACCACTTGGTTTGTGAAGAGAAGGTACGGGTTTTATTTTCAGGTTGAATGAACAATACTACTATTTTTGAAATGCATGTCATATAATTGATCTATTTCATCACAATGTTTGCCTAATCAACATGAGAAAGTTGTCGGATTAGATCAGGACTTTTCAGTCCATTGTTAATTCTTTTGGTATAATTATCTGCAGATATCGGAACTTTGAGAGATTGCATAGGCATCTTAAAGATATTCCCAATTATACATTACATTTGCCTCCCAAGAGGATATTCTCTTCAAGTACGGAGGATGCTTTTGTTCACCAGCGTTGTATTCACCTTGACAAATATCTTCAAGTATGATAACACGTACTCTCGTGATGGTACATAGATATTTGATTGTTTTGAATTTTGATGTTTTGACAATACTGTGTTTGCCAGGATCTCTTGTCAATTGCCAATGTTGCTGAGCAGCATGAAGTGTGGGATTTTCTGAGTGCCTCTTCCAAGGTGTGTATTAGTCTATTCAGTTAAAAACATATCCAGTACTTATGGCTTCTTAATAAATTTGTGGTTTTCTTATCAATGCAGAATTACTCTTTCGGGAAATCACCTTCTGTGATGAAGACGTTGGCAGGTATCTGGCTTCTCTTCCCGGACATCATTTAGTTGGCTACATGTTTGCCATACTGTTTATTGGCATTCTATAGATATTCATGATTTACGCCATTTTTTTGTTGCTGCAACAGTCATGGCATTTAATGTTAATTGTTGACTCAATAGATACGTTAATTGCATACTTTGACCTTAATCCCTTGACAAGTCACCGTACATTTTCATAATATACGAGAGAGTTTATACATCATGTCCATCTCTGATTAGTTTATCCTGTCTTTCTTTTTTTTGCTTCCAGCAAATTTTCAGTCCCAAAAGGTATATTTGTGCACATTGTCTTTGGGTTACAGTAAGTCCGACAGTGTCTGCTATTTGTCTATGTTGATAATACAACAAATTGCATGTGCCAACTTTCTTGGTAACACTTGTGTATTATTATGTCATTGAGAACTAGCTAAAAAAATGTATTTCCATTTAGATGGTTTATGAAATATATTTATTTTAACTATGACTACCCTGAGAGTCGGTTAAAATATGTCATTATAGAATTGATTTCATTGCATTTCACAAAAAAAAAAAAAAAAACAATATGCCCATCGCCAAATATTGGTTAATGACTTGTCAATAAAAGAGCATTAGGCGCTTACATTAGCAGGTAGTCTTAATGTCTTTAGTTCTGCGTCTTTAATATTTTGAACACTCAGTTTTAATTTGTATTTACAAAATGCAATCATTATGAACTCCCCTTCGGCCATAACAGTCAATGTGGATGATGCTGTGGATGATATAGTACGCCAATTCAAAGGGGTTTCCGACGGCCTGATGGGGAAAGTTGCTGGCTCACCTTCGTCTTCTTTTGAACAAGCTTCTTCAGTTACAAGCAGACACCTGTCCTGGAACGCTGATGATATAAATAAATTGGCTATGAGGCAAAGTACCTCAGAGTCAATGAACAGTTGTTCTGACAATGATGAATGCGATAAAGATGTAAACCAGGGAGAACAGGAAGCGGAAGCTGCGACCGAGACTAATGGTGGTAATTCAGACTATGACCCACAGAGGGTTGTTAAACATGATGAAGATGTCAGAAACATGGATTCAGAAGAAAGGTTGAAATCAGAATCAGTTTCTGGGAGTAGATATCTGGAGTCAAGTCTGGCCTTAACATCTGTTCCTCAGGAGGATCCAATACGTGTGCCCCCAGAGGTAATGTGCATTCAGTTGTGCACTTTTCATGCCCTGCTTTTCATGTTTACTCACTGATCCTTCACACTTCTTCTCATGGTCTTGACACTGAAGCTTATGTGGTAATATTCAGCTAATATTATTCCTGGTCCCATAAAAAGTGCACAGTATACGTTGACTTCTCTTATTTTCTTGAAAAACTCGACCAAAACGCCCATTGTGTGATTATGTAGATATTTAAGCATAATTTTGCTTTTCATTTAATTTCCTCCATATCCTGTATTCTTTTAATTACAATATTTGGAAAACACGATCACTATTTATCGTATAAGTAGATTGAGTATTTATTTATGCTGATTCGTCTATCAGTGTATATTTTTTAAACGGTTTTAGCTATAGAGAATACTGTTCTTAAATGTTGGAGTTTTTACTGTTCTCTCAATAGCCTGTTAATGTTAATAATGTCAATGCTGGGGATTGGATATGTGCCTAACTTGATTAGTTGTGATTTTAGGCAAGGAGATAAGCTGCCTTATTGTTTCTAATTGTTACACACGATTCTCTTAGGTCCTCTATATCACTGATGTTTGCTCTTCCTTGCAGTGGACACCACCAAATTTAAGTGTTCCAATTTTGAACTTAGTTGATAATGTATTTCAGCTCAAGAGAAGAGGGTGGCTAAGGTGATACTTTCGCTTTTACACTTCTGTTTCAAAACTTGCTTAGCTGTAACAACTAAATGAGTAATCATATTTTAAAATTAATATTGATAATGTATTACAGGTATGATTTGTACATTTTTGGTTGATGATATGAATGTTTCAGTCATGTAGATTAGAAATTAGAAAAACATATAGTATGAAAAAGGTGTTGGAGTTCACCTTATAAGTTCATGTGCGTGTGATTTTTGTAGGAGTGATTAATATTGGACCTATAACTATATGGCACATAAGAGTCGATCTCAGAATCTGCACTTACAAGCTCAGCCCAATTCATGAATAGTTTCCAAATGTACAAAATCAGAATATTTGTTTGCGTGTGAATTTTCCTCTGAAACTGTTGATTATATTCACAGTAAATTGTACAAAATTTTGGACACCCCTAAATATTAGCTGTTTAATATCCTTTTTAACACTTCCCTTCACCCCACTCCCACCAAAAAGCACGACCACTCGCATAGAGTAACTTGAAAATTTAAACACAGCAATTGGCCAAGTGCTGTAAGGAGGCTCTTTTTTCGTCTCTTTTGTATTTTCCTTGAAGTGGCTAACTAATGAAACCACTCTGATACCATGTACAAAAGTCAGAAAACATGCTTGTTATATGCAATAATCATTTAAGCCTTAAGCCATATTCTTTATCTTCTTTAATTGTAGGAGACAGGTCTTTTGGATATCAAAACAAATATTGCAGTTAGTCATGGAAGATGCCATTGATGACTGGCTTGTAAGGCAAATCCAGTGGCTCCGTAGAGAGGATGTTATCGCACTAGGGATTCGATGGGTTCAGGATGTAAGTTACTCTGATATTATAAAATTGTGCAATTGCTACTTGTCCAGCCTTAGGACTTGAGTATTTATTTTATTTTATTTTGTAACTCAACTTCTATTGATCATTTAAATCTTCTATTTTTATTGAAATTTGTTTGGTTATTGACTTGTTCCAAGAAGTTCCTAAGCCGTTTTCTAATCAATATCTTCTCATTAGGTTCTCTGGCCTGAGGGCACATTCTTTCTTAAATTGCGTACCCAAAGTCAACTAAATTATTGTGAAACTGCTGGGGTATCTCCACAAACTACAAAGCAACCAGGTGGAGTGAGGACTGCTCAAGCAAGGTCTTTCGAACAACAGCTCGAAGCTGCTCGCAGAGCTAGTTATGTGAAAAAGATGATATTCAGTGAGTACCTTGCTATTTGTTTGACGCATATAATATTTTTCTTATATTGATTTAGTAATCAGGATCTTGAGAATAACCATTTACTAGTCAATATTTTTTGTATTCCCAAATCCCCCGTAATGCTTTCATATTGCTTCTCTTTTCCCTCACATAAAGTTATGTTATAATTTGTTTCTGTAACATCTGTGGCTCCCATTCTTATGCTTTCTCGCAATTTATGTATAGATAATTTAGAGCTATTTTGCTACACCTTGATTGCCTCAGCTCATGGTCCATGCATTTTGAATTTGTTCTCATCAGAGAAGATCTGAAAGAGGACAACATACCCTTGCAAATATCTGCCAAAATCTATGTTATTGTAGTTTGGACTTTTCTTTCATTTTCGTGGATGCTATTTATATTATTTCATTCTGACCCTTTTCCCACGTGGCAGATGGTGCTCCCACCACATTGGTCAGTTTGATCGGGCATAAGCAGTACAGACGTTGCTCCAGAGATATATATTATTTCCTTCAGGTATATTAACACCCTGCCCTCAACCCTGAGAATGCTATCTTCCCTATATAATAATCCATATGCATTTTTTTTTACAACTCAATTTATTTTGATAAACGATTTGCAGTCGACGGTTTGTTTGAAGCAACTTGGTTATGGAATCCTGGAACTTGTTCTAGTATCAATTTTCCCCGAGCTGCGTGAGCTTGTGATGGATATCCACGAAAAGAAGCATGCTCAGCCTGTGTAGAACTGATTTTTTTTTCTTTTTTCTTTTTTCTTTTTTCTTTCTAACTCGCTGTGTGAAGATGGTCGTAAACGTCAAAATTCATGGAAGAGTGTATTTGCTTTTGTGGTGGAGCCAACATAATAGGGATTTTATTTAGAGACTTCTAATTTGTTCGACTAGTATAGTATCATCTGGCTCCACCACTATTCGTGGATGCTATCGAGATTCAGTTTCTATTTCATGGTGTACAAAATGTACAGTAGCTTATGTACAGTTCTCCTTTTTCTGTGTATATATCGTAAAGAATCGATTTATCAGCAGTGACTCTTTTTCCAGAAAAATACGTAATTCATTCTAGACTCTGAATTGCAGAGAACCGAGTCATCCGAATTATAAAAAAAGGGTATTTATGATTTGGGATGTTTGGAACGAACGATTCAGCTCTAAAACCCAAATATTCGATCTTTGTATAATCATGTGCCATATAATTATTGAAGGAGCCAACAAAGTACATGCAAAATAGCCAAAACTGCACCTATTGTTCCACACAAGCTTTGTCACAAATTCATCGTACACCATTTAGCTAATATTGATGTCTAATGTATGCTACACTCGGTGAAATACACCAGATAGTCTTCCACCATTGACTTACATACGATCACATACATATATATGTGCATGTGTGTTAAAGATATGTATGAATTTTATACAGGTATACTTCATCGAGTGCAGCATAGAACAAACTGCATTTGTCTAACGCACAAACTCAGAACATGTTCTGAAATGAACTGGTGAAAGAGCCACGTAGATTAGAATAAAGGGCGTAGAGCGAGTATTGCCTAAGATTCGCCACCTCGTACCACGAGTTGAGCACGTTCTCGTTTTTGTCCGTACCAGAAAAGGCCAACTGTACGCCTACACCACAGTCGATATCCCCATCATTGCCTTTGCATTTGGAATTCAACACTGCACAATCAGTGTTGTTAAGGCACACGAGAGAGGGCCCACTGCACGAACTGCACCCAAACTTCTTCCAGAACAAGTTTTGAAGAATACCTTTTTGAAATTCAAGAACCTAAAAAAAAATTGTGTAAGTTATCTCGAAACGGGGTCTTTTTATTTATTTAATTGAGATGTGATAAATGATCGGAAACGAACTAGTGTAAAGCTGGTTATAGTGTGACTGCTGTCCCCAACAAAAACGGGAGGCGATCGAGCCGCGTACTGTCGTCCGGCAAAAGCCACCATGTAACCTCCGAATAAGCTCTGTGAAAATCAGAAAAAAATTTAACTAACGTTTGAACATTAAAATATCATGTAATTACAGAAATAAAAAGTATGTTATATCATTCTTTCGGTTTAAAATATCTACTTCTCATCCACACACAAAAACATGCACGAGAGTGTGTGTGTTATATCATCGATAGGTTTACTGCATTTAGCCCCCTGTGTTTACTCCAATTGTCAAAAAACTCCACGTGTTATAAATGTTAACAATTTCCACCATATGATTCAATTTTATCAACAAACTACCCCTAAAAATGCACCATTTAGAGGTGTTTTAGCAATTAGATATAACACGGGAGTACCAAATGCAATAAACTCTATCATCCACTCTCAGTTCTCATATATATATATATATATATATATATTCTTACCGGATTGAAGGTGGTGCTATTGATAGTGAGGAGTGAAATCTCATCAACCTTAGGCCTAAACACAGCCAGCTGAGCACTAGTTCCGGCCAGAGAGAGGCGGCGATCGCACGGTGAGAGCTGAGTTTGATTGAAGAAGAAAGAGTCCTTTGAAGAAAATGCAAGCCCAAATGTAAATCCATCCGATTTCTGAACTTTCGTATCCGAACATGGATCGAACACGATATTCGTGTCTCCACCATATGCCGTAATCATCATCGTCGCAATCATCATCATAACCACTAATGTTATTTGCCCCACCATTGTCGCCCGATTCATCGAAAAACAACGTTGATTTGACCTAATATTTTCAGTACAACATCATTAACAAAGGGTACAAGCAAATTAAACAGAGAATCTCATCATCCCTGCAAAACATGCGTTGGATCCAATTATTGGAATTAACAGAGGATCAAATTGCAAATTAAAAAACAAACTTCGATGTTATTTATATAATTACAGAATCGAAATTTGTAATGATCAATGTGTACAAAAATGATATATTTATATGAGAATTGGATAAAAACTCACCGAAATCAAAGGTATCTTCTCCTCGGTTATCTTCTTCAACCAATTTTGTCTGTTCTTTGAATTTTAAATATAATTAATTAATAAAAAAGAATCAGACAAGACAGAGGAGAAAAAAACAACAACATAAAACAGAGGGGGTTGATGAAGAAGGGTTTTCACGGAGCAAAATCAATGGAAACAAATGATTTGATTTGCATAACGTGAAAAAAGGATGAAACTTTTTTTTTTTTTTGGCAATTAACTAATTTTATTTACCCGTAATTAATTTACTACAAAAAAATCCGAATTAGAAAGTAGTAATAATATATATATATATATATATATATATATATATATATATATATAACGCTGTGCTATTTGTATCTATCTCTGTTTAATTAATTTTTCAAAGAAATTGGAACATAGGGTTAGGGAGAGAGGGGTGGATCGTACGTTCAGATTACGGTTATGAAAAGTTGGCGTCTGAAACAAGGAATGCCACGTCATCACGAGCGTGTTTTAGTAGAGAGAGAAAACGTTGTTTGGAATTTGGGCCTAAAGTTGCTTCTTTATTGGATTTTGAAAACCTTTGGGCCTTTTTATTGATTTATGGGCTTTTGTGTAATATTTGGACAAATTATCTGAAACCACGTCAAATCTTGTCTTTTCTATTACTGCGTAATTTCTTCTTCATTTCATAGCATTAGGATTTGCATGTGAACTGATTACTTTGAGTCTAAAATCGAATCGTTGTAGATTTTCGATTAAAAAAATTATAAAATAAAAGATAATTAATTCTTCTAACGATTAGACTAAATATTAATTAGTCAAATAATGTTGGACTCATTTAGCAAAAAATTCACATTCAAACACAACAAAAAAAACATGATTTTTGAGGTAAACTGAATTGCCTACTCACCAACCCTCTTTCAATGCCTGAAATCTGAATATATAGGACCACATTATAAATTAAATGCAAAAGAATAATTCATTTTATTTACTATTAAATAATAATTGACTGACTTGCTGCATGAAATTTCAAAGGATGTACAACATCCATGCAAATAAATTTTTGTTCAGTTATGGTAAAATGAAAAGAACATGCAACCAACCCCCAAATAATATATATATATATATATATATATATATATATATATACTCTTCTTTTTTTCATATTTCATCCTCAACTTTTAATATTTTCTTTTCCAGCTTTTACGTTTGAGGATCTCGGTTTCGTGCTTCGTAAGCTGAATTAGGGTTCGACAGTTAGTGATAAAATCTTCATCAGTTTCTTGATCTTCTTAGGTAAGTTCTCTTTTTTTTTTTTTTTTTTTGTCTGAATTTCTGCAGCACCCTTTTGTTAGTGATAGTTGCTACTTCGATTTTCAATTTTTTTTATATATATTTTTTCTGCATTTTGGCTGAATAAAAAAAAATTGAAAGAACATTATGCAGGAAAAAAAAATGATTTTCTCGGGTTTTTACAGATCTCGAAAATTTTGATAAAATCAGGATTTGATTTTTTTTTTCGAATTCGTTTCTGTTATTCAAGATTTACTATTCATTGCAGGTTAAAAGAAAAAAAGAATAATCAAATAAAAAATGTTGGGTAAGAATGAAATTGGGAGCCCAGACAGAAGACCCTGTTTCTTCAAGATCATGCTGCCTCCCAACTTCACTCGACTCGTAAAATTTTACAAAATACTCTCTTAATCTTAAATTTCTGTAACGAATTTCGTTCGTCACATCAAACCAGCAATAAAACCAATTAAATCTTTACAGCGAATTCCACACGACTTCAACGAACAACTATCCGACATAAACAGTAATCAGGCAACACTGGCTAGTCGTACCTGCGGAAACTGGGAAGTCGAACTGGTGAAAGACGATAAGGGCGACATATATTTCATACGAGGCTGGCCTGAGTTCGTCAAACACCACTCGTTAGTCCCCTTAGATATATTAGTCTTCAAATACAACGGAGATTCGTCTTTCGATGTGGTGATATTCGACAAAAACGGGACTGTAAGAAATTATCACCATCATCAAGAATCTGCTTCTTCTTTCCCTTCCTTCGAAAAGAAAATGCAAAGCTCTAATATCGGCTCGAAAAGTCTTGTGGTGAGTATTTAATTCAGGACCCACATTTCATATCGCAATTTTTTTAATTTCTTTTTTTTTTTGGATAAGATTTTCTTACTGTGTTTATGCAGCAAATTCCGAAGAAGTTTGCTACAGCACACCTTCCTCATTCGAAACAGAGGATTACACTAAGAAATTCAGATGGGGTCAGTTCTTCAGCAAGTATAATAATTTTTAGTCGCAAATATCTTGCGATTACCGGAGGGTGGAAGGAATTTTCTGATTTTAATTCGATCAAGAAAGGCGATATCTGCACTTTCGAGCTGATTGACCAAACCACAATGCAAGTCCACATTTTTAGGAAATAAGCACTTTTTTTTTAATGAATGTAGAACTTATTAACTATGATTTTATTACATGTTTTCGTCGGTTGGTAATATTTATATACTTGTGGGATGAATGTACATTACATTTATACACTTCATGCACTACTGAATTAGAATCCTTCAAAGTTGTGAAAATGAAGTAAATAGGTAACAGAAAACGACATACCACCATTTCCGTTTTTCTCCGTTTCTCCATATTCAATCTTCACCACCAGTCTCTGCACGAGCACACGCCATCTCGAAAAACATGAAAGCGATTGGCATCTTTAATAACCAGAACTCGAGCATACACTTTCGATACGAACTTACACGCAGAGTGGCAGTCTTTGCAAATTCGTAGATTTTTAGTTACCCGTATAACCGTTCCGGGTTTAGTTCTCATTAGTCCAAAAGCAATAGCCAGCTTCTCACTGTGGTGAAATAGAATATCTTTCTTCACATCGTTCGACACATCCAAGAACACAGAATCTGTATCAACCTCATACCCTTCCGATTTTATCTTAAAAATCAAGTCTTTTAAAAACTCGTTAATCTCCATGTAGAAAAGATGATCTTTCTGACTAGCCATAAACGTGAATATTTCTCCACTTATTTCGATAGAACTAACACCAGGGTTCTTCTTCAAATTGTTCGATTTCAAATACGTTCTACTCGTTCTTGCACAATCCCAATCTCCAGCCAAAGCATACATGTTCGATAGCAATACGTAATACCCGGCATCGTTCGGTTTCAACTCAAATAGTTTCCGAGATATTTCGATTCCCACCTCAAGATTCTTGTAAATTCTACAAGCGGTAAGCAATGAACTCAAAATCTCAACCCCTGGTTGAAGATGCATCCTCTTCATAAGCGAGTAAGCCTCGTTTACTCGTCCAGACCGACCAAGAAGGTCTATAACACATGCGTAGTGCTTTGAACTAGGAATTATGTTCCATAGTTTTTGCATACGATCGAAAATTTGTAGTCCTAGATCTACAAGGCCAGTGTTACTACAAGAACATAACACCGAAACAAAGGTTGACTCGTCTGGAACGAGACCTGAATTCTTCATCTGTGAAAATAACTCTATTGCTTCATTCCCACACCCAATCATGCCATAACCGGATATTAATGTGTTCCAACATGCAACGTCTTTTTCTTCCATACGTTCGAAACACGTTTTTGCATCTTCCATACTCGCACAGTTAGCGTACATGTCTATTAGAGCTGATCCGGTAAAAATATCGGCTTGGAAACCAGTTTTTATTACGAGAGCGTGTACACGTCTACCCTGCTGCAAAGCTCCCGAAAAGCTGCAACCTGAAAGGATCGTTATCAAAGAAACGGAATCGAGCTTGATTCCATCTTCTCCCATCATGTTATTGAAATGTTCGATGGTTCTTCTCCAATTGCCACTCTTTGAAAACCCTCTCAGCATCAAAGTCCAAGCAACCAAATCCTTCCTATCGATCTCCTTAAATATAGAGTAAGCATCGTCAACGAAATCACAATTTATATAGAGCTCCATCAAAGCGGTTTTAACTAGTGCATCATTCTCGTATCCAGTTCCGATTAGCAATCCGTGTATTGCACTTCCTACTCTCAAATCCGGTGAACTAAGCAAACTCGTAAGCGTAAAAATATCTCCCGAAAACCCTTTCCTCCTCATCTCGTTGAACATAGATAATGCTTCCTCCCCAAATTCATTCTCGGAGTAACCTGAAATGATTGCATTCCACGAGACAACGTTTCTCTCAGGCATATTATCAAACAGTTTCCGAGCGATCTTCAAACATCCGAATTTCGAGTACATATGAACCAAACCCGTCTCCACAAAAACATTACACCCAAAATTGTGTCTGATCCAATAACAATGCACTGATTTCCCTATCAGAGCCACCCCTAATTTGCCAAAAGCAGGCAAAACAGTCGCGATCGTTACCTCGTTAGGCCTAATTTCTCGAACCACCATCTCTTGAAAGAGCTCAATAGCTTCCGAGAAACGGCCATTCTTCGTGAGCCCGGATACCAGAATTGTCCAAGAAACTAAATTTTTATTCGAAATATGAGAAAATATTATCTGGGCTTGATCTATGAGTCCGCATGAAGCATACGCATTCATCAACCTGTTGCCGAGGAAAACATTGTCGGAAAGATTGGACACAGTTACCTGGGCATGAACTTGCTGCAGAGGCTTTGTATCTCTGAGTTCTTTGAGGATTGAAGCATGTGATGGATGGGCAGAAAAATATACAACGTGTGTTCTACAAGAAATTTTGATATTGAGCACAAACCGTACGTTTTGGCGCCAACAATTCATTTGCATCGAAACTTTGTGATGAATAAAGCCTCTGTTATCAGCTGTTTGAACCGTTTTAAATACCAATTTTGAATTTTGAATGCTCTGTTTCACGAACTTTTTTTTTCCCTCCAAATTTTCTGAACTGTTTTGTTAGCCATAAATTTGATTAAATTCCTTTTCTAGTGGACTGGGCCATAATTCCGTTAGCCATTCCGTTATCAAGCAGTTAAAGCCCAGATAATAATCAATCAGTATGGGCCTTATTTTTTTTTAACACCGTTAGGCCCAGTTGAGGTACAAGCCCACATCAAATGTGTGGGCCATGGTAAGTAGAACTGAAAATCAAATCAATCTACTTTGTGCACGATTTTCGTTAAAAACTCGTTTGGGCTTGGTTTATTAACACGATGAATAACATTTCAATGTAATTGTTTGTTCCATAAACAATGAAATGTGCCTCGAACTCGAGCTTGGTGACGAGAAAGATGATGAGCATACGTAGAAAAAAAAATCAAACTACTGTAACTCGACTGATCATATTCAGCTCGATTAAAACTCATCTGAGCTAGAATCGATTGCTTAACAAATCAAGCTCAAACAGAACTTTCATGAATCTCGGTAGAAAAGGTAAAAGTAAAAATTGAACAACCATGCATTTGACTCGTCTCAATTTATTTACAGTTGTAATGATGATTTGTAAACATGCTTCCTATTTATGGGTAAAAATTGGAACGCAGTTTTCGATTTTCGCAGATTCTCATCCAATTTTTTTCGATTCTCGAACAATATGTTTCATTATGAATTTCAAAAATCCGATGCTGAATTCTTTCAAAATTTTTGGATAAGAACTGGAATATATAAAATATGAGATTACGATTTCCGAAAATTCCGATTTTTTTTTTTTGTTCTAAAATTTCCATTTATAATATCAATATTATTATGCATTGAGGATTTGAGAATTTTCGCCGACTACAATTTGATTTTTGAACTACTTTTTGTCATTTAAAAAATATCGGAACATAAAGTGCTTATTCACTATTCCTATTAAGGTGGTGTTTGCAAAAGCTTTTATAAATAGATGATGAAGTTTTTTTCCCACATAATCTGTTTTTAGATGTGTGCAAAACCAATTTTTATTTTTGTTTCTCTTAAAATTAGAAGCTGCAAGCTATAATTTAAAAAACACAGTTTTTTCTATTTAAATTAATTTTCCAGGGTTTTTTGCAAACACCCCCAAACATTTAAAATAAAACACTTAATATCAACTTAACTTACAATCACGAACTTATACTTTTAAATAAGCTTTTAGAAACACCACCTAAATCCATCATTTTAGTTTATTTTATCTAATTTTTACATAAGCTTTAAGAATCCATTAAAATTAACTTTTAAGCAGTAGTTTGTAAAACATTTGTAGCCACTGACAGAAAAAGATGAGCCTCAGATTCTCCAACACAGATTTTTCCAGTGGAACTAACTAATAAACCCCATATCTTCTTTCTCAGCCAATCATCTCTCCACCACCTTATCCACACTCCCCCATACAAACAAACTTCTCTCCCTTCTCAATCTTCCCCAATTTATTATCATCATCCCCAAAACTAAAACCCTAAGAAATCAAATTATCCATACCAGGCAGAAATAAACAATGGCAGCCACGATATCTCCGGCGACAGTCCTTGCCGCGGCCGCCGTGGGCCCCAGCAGCAGATCGTCCCAGAGGAGGCCACGTGTCAACTACATCAACGGCCTCAATTCATTCGGCGGCCTCAAGGCGAACAACAGCGTCGCCGCGTTAGGGCTCCCGGTCTGCACCGACCACTCCTTCGCGATGATCGTCAGCTCGTTGAAGAAGCCCTCGCAGAGCAGAAACGGCGGCGGCGGCGCTCTCACCTCCACTTGCAATGCTATTGGTGAGATCTACACCATCGCCGCCATTATGCCCGCCCTTGTTCTCGTCGGCGTCGCCATCGGATTCGTCCTTCTCCGAATCGAAGCCATCGTTGAGGAAGAATGATTGGGGAAACTTCCAATTTGGTTCATAATTGTTTTTTTTTTTTTGGCTGTTTTTATTTGATTCTATTTTGAATGAACATCTGATTTAAAATTCCAATTCGCCTACATTATATTCATAAATATATATATATAAAGTTGTAATAAAATTAATTTCTTATTTATGTTGGCATATTTAATTCAAAATTACAAATCCCAGCCTGTAACAAACTCAACCTCACCATTCTTTGATACTCTCCATTTTTCATGCCAAAAGATTGAAACCCTAGACCACAAAGGAATCGCGTTATACCTTTCGTTCCTCCGTCTCACGGTCAACGGTAGCCACACGTACCTCGAATCCCTCAAATCCGCCGCGTTCCACCTATCCGCCATGAAAACGAACGAACCGTGCTCGCCACCTGGCATTGGAACCACGAACGTCCCCTGCGAAAAGAAAGTCGCGGCCCGAAAGGCCTTGTTCGCACCAACACAAGGGTTCCCGATACTCTCCCACGGCCCGAATATCGACTCCGCCTCGTGGACCGCAACCTCGTTCGGGGCCCACCCGCTGCACCCGGACGTCACCATGTAGTACACCCCGTCGTGCTTGAACACCGACGGAGCTTCCCTGTACTGGCCCACTAGGGCCCGCTCAGTCTCGTCGGTGACGTCGAGATAATCTTGATCCAATTTAGTAATGTGGATCTCTTTATTTTTATTAGAGGAGTAGATCAAATACGCGATCCCATTTTCGTCCTTGAAAACCGTCATATCCCGGCTGTCGAACCCGTTGGGGTTCAGGCTTCTGAGATACTCGAACGGGCCCACGGGGGAATCGCTCGTGGCTATTCCCACCGAGGCTTTCTTGTATGTAGAATCGTCTACGTGCATCCACATTATATATTTACCGTTCTTGTCGTTGTAGATCACTTTAGGCCTCTCCACCACTTTCTTCTTGTGTAGATCATGCGTCTCGTCCGTTTCGTCTGCAGAGAGCACAACGCCTTCGAATTTCCACGCCCACATGTTCTTGGAAGAGTAGCATCCGATACCGATGAAATCTACACGTGCGGGGCCCGTTTCGGATGCGTGGTAGGTGGGGCCATCTTTGTACTCTCCATACCAATAGTAGGTCTCCGATTTCTCGTCGAACAAGATGCCTCCGCCGTGGGCCCGGATTCGATTTCCGTCTGTGTCTAGCCACACTTTTCCCGGATAATAGTAACGGCCTTTGATCTCAACATCGATTCTTGGATCCACAACATCTCTCGGGAAGAAGATATTCCTTGTAAGAGATGATTCGTTGAGGAACTCGTTATTGAGGTTGATTTTGTGAGGGTTTTTCAGTCCGTACGGGGGTAGAAGGGTCAATATCTCGACTTGGTCGAATTTTAGTAGGGGGAGGGGGGTGAGGGCTACGATGCGCCTCATTTTCTCCATTTCTACACCGACACGGTTATAGAAAGAGCAGAAGCGGACGGCTAGAAAGAAGGTGAGGCTGAGAACCGCCAGCCGCCGCCACGAACACAGGCTTCCGGTGAATAACCGCCGAGCCATGTGGATGGAATGGATCAAGTTCTAGCTAGATATATCAATGGTGTTGTTATCACTCACTAGATTGAATATATATATACAAATGTAAGAGCTGGATTAATCTGTTTTTAAATTGAAGCCAATAGCAAGAGGAGTTTTTTAAATATATTTATTTGTCCAGACAGATTCAACTGAGTTTCTTGAACTTGAAGCACAAGTATATTAAACAAAGCATTCCACTTGCTTATGTCTACATCTCGAGGCAAGAACAATTTACTTGTTAATGTTTACATTCGAATATTCATTAATTCTGTTCTTCTACTATGTGATTGAGTAAAAATTAGGGTAAATTGCATATACACCCCTGATGTTTGCTAAAATAACTCTATGGACCATGTGGTATTGGTAATTATAGTCACATCCCTGAAAAATTACCGAAGCCAAGATTTCATGTCCTGGGCGTTAATGCTACCATTGATGAAAATTTATAAATATTATCCTAATGTGTTCTGGGGTGATTGTAATTACAAATACTACAAGGACCTTAAAATTATTTTAGCATACCTTGGGGGTGCAGGTGTAATTTACCCAAAAACAAGGACTCTTTAACAGCACTTTGTGCTACAATTAACAGCGCGATAATTTGCTTTTATTACTATTGTTATTATTAAGGGAAAAAAATCTTATTAAGGAAAAATCTCCGGAAAGAGTCTTTCAATTTCTTCAATTTCATGTTGCTCCGGCGACGACGGAGCTGAAAAACCCTAATTACAACGTCCTTCAAGTCAAAGAAGTATACAGAGAGAGAGGGCAATGCGGTGGAGATATGATGCAAGGTCTACACCACCAACAGCAGCATCTGGCGGCGCTCCTCACGGCGGCGCTACCCAAGGACGACGTCTCCAAAGCTTCTGCTACCTCTTCATCCCCTTCTTCCGCCGCCTCTGTCTCGCCGCCGCCTTCTGAAGAAGACGAATCGTCGCGTCTTGCCGCCATCACCTCTCTTCACCGCGCGATACTTTACCCTCACAATTCACTCCTCGTTATACATTCCGCCTCCTTCCTCGCTCAAGGCTTGTCTCAACTGCTAACCGATAAGTAACAATTCTATCCTTAATATTTTCCCTGTCATGTGTATGGCAGTTCATCCGCGCGTTATTGTTATATTTGTAGGAATTCACTCGTTTTTCATACTCATCATGTTAATATCTCTGTAAAAATATTCTGCGCTGGTTAACTTCTAGAAGAACCGGTGCTGTTTGAATTGCATATTTACAGATAATTCAGTTAGGACCTCAGCATTTTGTCCGGTTATTACTATATAAATCGTTTCACACAACGGCGGGTGTGTGTGGGGGTTGGGGGTGGGGTGTAGCATGTGTGCATCGCTTGTGAAATTAATTCTCTACTTTGGTTGGCCGGATTCTCTTCTGTCGTCACTTTTTTACGTTATTCAGTTATTAAGGACGAACGTGTATGCTGAACGGTTACGCAATTTGATTGAAGTTAGTACGGCGCCTGAATGAAATAATACATAATCAGAAGGTCAAGTTACCCCCGATATTTATCCTGCAAGAGAGAGAATAGAAACATGTTTTTTTTTATATCAGATTTTACTCGATTTGAGGGAGTGATATTCAATGGAATTATCGCATGTATGTATACTTCTTGAATCGTACGAGACATTGCTGAACCGCGTACATCTGGTGCCTGGTTACAGCATTTTGATTGTTGAAAATCTATATGTGATTTCCTTTTGTATAAGTAAAGAAACTTCACAACAGCATGGATTGTATGCTATCCATATTTCCTTTGACATGCAGTAATTGATGTATGATTTTTGTTAAATTGCTTACGTTTCTGCATAATTTGTAGTTTGTATGACTGGTTTATTGCTTTAATCTCGTGCTGTAGATTGTACTCAGTGCGTCATGCAGCAGCTAAAACGTATGGGGCTTTATGTTCTGTACTGTGTTCGCTTTCGGTAGCCTCAAATGGAAGGCAAAACCATGTTATACTTGGCAGTTTGATTGATCGGTTCGTTGGATGGTCATTGCCATCTCTAAGAAATATTGGTAATGGGTCTTCCGAATTAGCTTTGGAGAGCCTCCACGAGTTTCTAAGTGTTGGAGAGGTTGGAGCTGTCGAGAGGTATGCTTTGCCAATTCTTAAATCTTGCCAGGAACTTCTCGAGGATGAGAGAACCTCCGTGAGTTTACTTCCGAAGCTTCTTGGTGTGTTAAAATTGATTTCATTGAAGTTTTTTAGATGCTTCCAACCCCATTTCATGGACATTGTTGATTTGCTTCTTGGGTGGGCAATGGTACCGGACATTGTGGAGTCTGATAAGCTTGTAATTATGGATAGTTTTTTACAGTTCCAGAAACATTGGGTAAATAATATGCAATTTTCTTTGGGATTGCTGTCAAAGTTTTTGGGTGACATGGATCTGTTACTCCAGGATGGAAGCCCTGGTACTCCTCAACTATTCAAAAGATTGCTTGCTCTGCTGTCTTGTTTTTGTTCAGTTTTACAATCCTTGGCATCTGGTTTACTGGAAATAAATTTTCTTGAACAAATAGGCGAAACCCTTTCTCAGATGGTGCCTGTTTTAGTAAGATGCTTATCTGTGGTCGGAAAAAAGTTTGGATGGTCGAAATGGATTGAGGATTCTTGGAGGTGCTTGACATTGTTGGCAGAAATTTTAAGTGAAAGGTTTTCTACTTTTTACCCTATCGCAGTGGATATATTGTTTCAAAGCTTGGAAGTGGAAAATGTAAACCAAGTTTCTACCAGAAAAATATCTTCCTTCCAGGTTCATGGTGTTCTTAAAACCAATCTGCAATTGCTGTCGCTTCAAAAGCGTGGTCTTATGCCATCATCGGTGCATAAGATACTACAATTTGATGGACCCATATCTCAGCTCCGTTTGCATCCAAATCACCTTGTCACTGGAAGTGCTGCGGCTACATACATATTTTTACTTCAACATGGGAAAAGTGATATTGTTGAAAAAACAATGGATTCTTTGTTTGAAGAGCTACTGTTATTGAAGGGCCAGCTTGAAAAAAGTTCAAGTAACGGGGATGAGATCGAAATGACGGTAGCTTCTAAAGGTTATTCGAAATCTGAGCTGGTTGTGTTGGTAAATTTTAATTTGGAAGTACTATTAAGCTGTGTTGCTTTGGGAGGGCGAGGTAATTTAACCGGGAAGGCAGAAGTTGACACTCTGAGTGCTGTTAGGGCGGAAAAGTTGGTAGCCTTTTTAGTTAACAAGTTTGATCCCTTTAAATTGCCAATCCAAAGAAGTTCAAAATTGCAAGTCACTCTTATAAGAACGTTGGAAAGGCTTGCCACGATTGAGTTTATGAGCAAGTTTCCAATAGGAAAACAGAACAGTGGGATGAGTTCTCCTGAAACATCATCTGGGACGTATGCGGAAGAGGAAATTGTGAGAGACCTATATCCAGCTATGATTTTTGGTCATCTGAGGAGGTACACTAAGCTCCTTATTAAAGCTCTTGATATTTCGTCTCCTTTGGCAGTCAAAGTAGAAGCCCTAAAATGGATGCATAAATTTTGTGAAAATGTTATTTACATATATAGCAACATAAAGGCTCCATTTTACCCTTGTCAAGCAGTTGCATGCTGGAAAATTATCCAGGACTTGCTTTTCTCGACCTTAGTTGCTGCTTCAGATAGGGAACCAGAAGTGAGATCTCGTGTGGCAATAGTTCTTGAGATGCTTATGGAAGCAAAACTTATCCACCCCATGCACTTCCCTCTTATTGCTGGAATTATCCTTGAAAAACTTGGTGATCCAGAAAAGGATATAAAAAATGCATATCTTAAGTTGCTTTCTCATATATTACCTATTACAACGTATATATGCGGTCTTTGTGATAGTGGAGCAGTCAACACATGCCAGCCTCGATTTCCTGCTATGGCCAATAGTTCTTCCTTGCACTGGAAGCAAGTTTTTGCCCTTAAGCAACTGCCTCAGCAACTCCACTCGCAGCATCTTATTTCTATATTGAATTATATTTCACATAGATGGAAAGTTCCCTTATCTTCTTGGATCCAGCGACTCATTTATACATGCCGGAGCAAAAAGCACCACCCGTCTAATCAGCCTGAGGAGGCAGAGACTTTTGATGCTAATGGTTTATGGTGGGACATCAAAGTGGAGGAAGACATTCTTGAAAGAATTTGCTCGGTTAATCTCATTGCTGGTGCCTGGTGGGCCATACATGAAGCAGCTAGATTTTGCATTACTACTCGCCTTCGAACTCACCTTGGGGGTCCAACTCAAACATTTGCTGGTTTGGAGCGCATGCTCCTTGACATTTCTCATATGTTACAGCTTGAGACAGAGCAAAGTGATGGAGCTTTAAATGTCATAGGTTCTTATGCTCATTTGTTGCCGATGAGATTGTTACTAGAATTTGTTGAAGCCTTGAAGAAAAATGTATATAATGCATATGAAGGGTCAACAATCTTACCTCATGCTTCTCGGTCGAGCTCTTTATTTTTTAGAGCAAATAAGAAAGTTTGCGAAGAGTGGTTTTCTCGAATAAGTGAGCCAATCATGGATGCTGGACTGGCGCTCCAGTGTCATGATGCTACTATTCATTACTGTTCAATACGATTGCAGGATCTCAGCAACCTTGTGTCTTCAGCACTGACAGATAAGTCCAGGGTCCATGCGAGTGAAAATCTGCAGAATATTCGAAGCAGATACGGTGATGATATTTTGAGAATCATACGGAACTTGGCTCTGGCTTTATGTAAAAATCATGAATCAGAGGCACTGGTTGGCTTGCAGAAATGGGCAACCATGGCATTCTCTCCCTTGTTTGCCGATGAGAAACAAGGTCCAAGTGATAATAAAAACTGGGAATTTTTTTCATTGCTTACTGGGCTTGTGCATCAGGCAGGAGGCCAGCATGAAAAGGCCGCTGATCACTTTATTCATTTGTTACAGACTGAACAATCACTCACTTCTATGGGTTCTGATGGTGTACAGTTTGCCATCACATGTATTATTGAGAATTATGCAGCTATTTCTGATTGGAAGTCTCTGGAATCTTGGTTATCAGAGCTGCAAACTATTCGAGCCAAGTATGCTGGAAAGAGTTATTCTGGCGCTTTGACTACTGCTGGAAATGAAATGAATTCAATTCAGGCCTTGGCTCGGTTTGATGAGGGTGATTTCCAAGCAGCATGGTCATATCTTGATTTGACCCCCAAAAGTTGCAACGAACTCACACTTGATCCCAAGTTGTCTTTGCAAAGAAGCGAACAAATGCTTTTGCAGGCAATGCTTCTCCAAATTGAGGGGAGGGTGGAAAAAGTGCCCCATGAGTTGCAAAAGGCCAAATTAATGTTGGAGGAGACATTCTCTGTTTTGCCACTTGATGGACTGGTGGAGGCTACATCACATGTCAATCAGTTGTACTGCATTTCTGTATTTGAAGAGGGTTGCAAGCTTGATGAAAGCCAGGGCAAGTCCTTCCAGTCATTGTTACATACGTATATCCAAACCATGCAGTTTCCTTGTAACCATGTTCATCAAGATTGCAGTTTGTGGCTAAAAGTTCTGCGTGTTTGTAGGAATATTCTCCCAACATCGCCTCTGACTCTTGAGCTCTGTAGGAATTTAGGGATTTTAGCACGCAAGCAGCAGAATTTAATGTTGGCGACCCGTCTCAACAACTACATAAAAGACCATGCCTCATTTTGCTCCGATGAAAGATCTCGCAATTATTTCATCTCCAGCGTGGAATATGAGGACATTCTAATGATGCGAGCTGAAAACAAGCTTGATGATGCATTAAGAAATCTTTGGTCATTTGTGCATCCTTTCATGTTTCCTTCTTCAACTGTAGCATGCGATTCTCATGAGAATGTTTTGAAGGCCAAGGCATGCTTGAAACTTTCAAATTGGTTGCAAGGAGATTGTTCAGGTAAAAACGTCAATGGTATTGTTCTTGAGATGCAAGCAGACTTCAACAAGAGTGGCATTTCTTCTCTAGGCAAAGAGGCGCTCACCTTTGGTGATGGTAACCAAGCCTCTGAATCAGAACCCAGACTTTTTATCGAGGAGCTTGTGGGTTCCGCTAGAAAGTCATCCATCCTTCTTTGCCCAATGATGGGGAAGTCGTGGATTTTGTATGCCTCTTGGTGTTATGCTCAAGCTACAGCATCTGTCTCCTCCAATGGTGAGGTGGCTCTTCATTCTTGTTCTTTTTCTCCGATTCTTGAGACGGAAATCCAACCTGAGAGATTTGCGTTAACTGGTGAAGAAAGATTGCGTGTTAAAGAAGTGATTCTACAATTATTTCAAGAAAGATCGGATAAGAAAGATTCGCACGAAGAAAGTGGAGATTGCAATTTCGACGTTACTGAACGGACCGATAATGAGACTGAACCGAATTCTTTAATGCAGCAATTAATTGATGTTATTGAAACTGCTGCTGGAGCACCTGGGGCAGAGGACTGTAGTAGCAACAGCCTATCTACTGCACTGTCTTCTCAGTTGCGTAAATGGTTTTTATCTGCTAATATTACCATAGGTGAAGCCAAGGTAGTATCCTTAGTAGCTGATTTGGTTGATGTTTGGTGGTCGTTGAGGAGAAGAAGGGTTTCTCTTTTTGGTCAAGCAGCTCAAGGTTTTATAAATTATCTTTCGTATTCATCTTTGAAAAGTTTTGATGGTCAATTAACTGGCCGTGATGTGGAGTCGAAGTATCTGAGTTACACCCTGAGGGCCACACTCTATGTGCTGCAGATTCTGGTCAACTATGGAGTTGAGTTGAACGATATCCTCAAACATGCCCTTTCAAAGGTTCCTTTGCTACCCTGGCAGGTAAAGTAATTTTTTCGGATCTTGAATGAAGATTGAACATACTGTAATACTGATCTCATGTTCTAACTTTGAAGGAAATAACACCTCAACTGTTTGCTCGATTAAGTTCTCATCCTGATAAAGTGGTCAGGAAGCAGTTAGAGACATTGCTTGTCATGCTGGCAAAACTTTCTCCATGGTCTTTAGTTTACCCGACCCTTGTTGATGCAAATTCTCCAGAGAAGGAGCCATCTGAGGAGCTGCAGAAAATTCTCGCTTACTTGGTTAGCAAAGGCTTTACTATAATCAATAATGTCTAACTATTTTTTTTTTCTTTTGCATGTGATACAACTTTACCACAGCCCTCTTCTTTTGTCTTCTTGTGCAAAACTGTTATTTCATTTACAATCGTAAGATTTGTTTTCTTGTTCTAGGGAGTGAATAATAATTGGGTGCACTCATGTCTTGTTAGATTCCCATTTCAAGGTCCTTTTGTCTTGAATATCTAAATATTTTCTTCATGTTTCTATGTAAGTTTGTTTTCTGAGTACTCTTGTGGACTTATCAACTGCTGTAAGTTAGCTTTACGTTGCTTCTTAACTCTATGTAACTTATCTCGCTTGGTTATTGTTTGATCACATTTCTGGTCGACAGATTACTTCTGGTGAGCATGACGGAAAGCTATTAAGTGAATTATATTTCTTGAGAAAAGGAGCCTTTAGGCCTCAATTTATTGCTTTAGACAGCTGGCGTCAGTCGTAATCACTCTTAGCAGAATTTTTTTATCCACGGCATATGATCTTGACTTCCTCCTGTAGTATGAAACTTAGAAAAAAAAACAAGTCCTAATTGATATATCAAAAATATCGTGGGAGGCAATCCTTAAGTTAGGGTAGATGTAAAGCTATAATTAGTGATATGATTAAGTAATTCTCTAATCAAGAGGATTTAAAGATGACGAGAGATTCCCCTAATCAGAGGGATTTGATGTTGTTAGGTTAGAAAATATCCATAGTTGATGCATGAACAATGTTTGTATATAGGTCTACGTGATTGAACAAAGGAATTATCAGTGAAATTTGCTTTCCAGAATTCTGTGGAATATTATGTTTTACATGTCAAATTTTATAATAATGCAATTTTGGTTGAACCAATCTTTGTTATCATTGTACTAGATATGCTTTTTGTTGAATATTGTACATGAAGGTGCATTTGTTTAATATGCAGAATAGGCTTTATCCAAGTTTAGTACAGGATTCTCAACTGATGATAAAAGAGCTTGAAAATGTAACCGTCCTTTGGGAGGAATTGTGGCTCGCTACACTCCATGATCTTCATGCAGGTGACTTTCTTTTTTGTCTTGCTGCTTTAACTTGATATATGGTAGTTGAATATGCCCACACCTACCCTTTGGATGTGAACTACTGTTTTCTATGCCTTGCGTGATCCTTGAATGAGCAAAAGAATGTTGGTATTAATCTTTGGGTCCATTGCAAATAGTACAACTGAGGTTTGACCTAATTACGAAAAATAAGAGGGAGCGATATGAATCCAGATCTATGGATCCGGTTTAACCTTCTTTTGTCTAGTCTCTTGTTTTTGGCAATTTAATATACTTTTATCTGCCATTTTCTTGTTTCTGTACCTTTTTTACCCTGTTTGATTCAATAACTGATTTTTTTCTTTATCAATTTAACCTATTTTGGCTGTTTTTCCTATTATTGACCAATTTAACTCATTTTTGACAGATTTTGCATACTTCTTTTTTTATCAGTTTAACCTTTTTTTACTGATATTTTTCATTTTTTTGACTGAGCGAATCGGCCAAAAATAGGTTTAACTGGTAGAAAATATGTTATATTGGTCAAAAGTGGGATCAATTGAACCGGCAACATATATTAATCCTGCCAAAAATTGTAAAAATCAAAAAAGAACTGACCAGAAATATGTTAAATGTTTAACCAAAATACGCTAAATCAGTAAAAAAAAAAAAGGTTAAACTTGTAAAAAACGAGTTAAATGGATAAAATATGGAACAAATTAAAAAGTTGGTATTTCTGTCCAGAATTATGCCGGCAAAAAAATATGTTAAATCAGCCATAAACATGTTAGATTGGCTTAAACCATGGAACACTTTAAGTTTAAGGTATGTTATTTTCAATCCAGTTACATATAATCAGCATAGTTGTTTACCATTTTCTTGCCTAGCGCCTATTGTGCAATTCCTCTCTAGTGAGCTATCTTTTTTTGGTAAAACATTCATGCACCGCTTTTTCTAGAACGTGTGAATATGAACGGTACTAAATTATCCATCCAGTGTTCTAAACCCATTTTCATATTTGGAATCTCTTAGATGTAATGAGGCGCATAAATTTGTTGAAAGAGGAGGCTGCACGAATTGCAGAGAATACAACTCTTAATCATGGGGAGAAGAACAAGATTAACGCTGCTAAGTACTCGGCTATGATGGCTCCTATTGTTGTGGTCTTAGAGCGTCGTTTAACTTCTACCTCCCGGAGACCTGAAACACCTCATGAAATGTGGTTTTTTGAGGAGTACCAGGAACTAATCAAATCAGCTGTCACAAAATTCAGGACTCCTCCTGCATCTGTTGCAGCATTAGGGGATGTTTGGCGACCTCTGGAGACCATTGCTAACTCCTTGGCATCTTATCAGAGGAAGTCATCGATTTCCTTTGGGGAAGTTGCCCCACAGTTGGGTTCAATGTCATCTTCTAAAGCTCCAATGCCTGGTCTTGAGAAGCAAACTATGATATCAGAATCAGAGTATGGCTTAGACAGCTTACACCAGGAAATTGTGACAGTTGTTTCTTTCTCTGAACAATTAACCATTTTGCCAACAAAAACTAAGCCAAAGAAACTTGTTATAGTGGGGTCTGATGGTCTGAAATATACATATCTCTTGAAAGGACGAGAAGACCTGCGACTTGATGCCAGAATTATGCAGCTTCTGCAATCTGTAAATGGGTTTCTGCAGTCCTCATCTGCTACACGTAGGGATTCACTTTCCATCCGTTACTATTCTGTAACACCTATTAGTGGACGAGCTGGCCTGATCCAGTGGGTTGATAATGTGATTAGCATATATAGTGTTTTTAAATCATGGCAGAACAGAACGCAGTTACAACAGCTTTATGCATTGGGTGCTGATACAAATAGTGCTGTTCCTCCTGTCCCTCGGCCCAGTGACATGTTCTACAGCAAAATCATACCAGCCCTTAAAGAGAAAGGTATAAGAAGAGTAATATCGAGAAGAGACTGGCCTCATGATGTTAAGAGGAAAGTTCTTTTAGATCTCATGAACGAGACTCCAAAGCAACTTCTTCATCAGGAACTTTGGTGTGCCAGTGAAGGGTTCAAAGCCTTCAGTGCAAAATTGAAAAGGTATTTCTATTGATCTTAAAAGAATGACTCTAGCTATTCTTTTCCTATGCTTAAGATGAACATAGATGCCAGCATTATGTTTTTAGAAATAATGGCTGATCTTCATGTAGTCTGTCATTGATATTTTACGACGTTTTTCTCTCTGTGCAATTTCCGTTATTATTGATTTTTTTTCAGTCACCCCAAAATTTGTGCATGATGAATTCGAAAGATGTAGAGGGATACATCCCAACACACGACTTAATAGATAAAACACTAGCTGCAATATTTGAGAAACAGGATAGCGGAGATAAACTTTTGTTTTTGTGCTCAATGGTTCTAGGTTGATTGTATATTGCCTGCAGACACTATTCATTTTTAACAGGCTTGTTAGTTCGTAATCATAGCTGGTTACTGCCTTGTGGGCATTGTGCGAGTTCAACTTAGTTGTATATTCTCTTGGAAGTAATAGTTTAATCGAGGATGAATGAGAACCTTTTAAAATGAATAAAAAGTAGGTTTATTCATTTGAAGCATAGTACAGATTATGTGAAGGGATTTGTATCATGCTTACTGACTCGAAATCCTTGTTGTTAGACTTAAGCTGTGAATTGTGACAAGTATGGATGACATTTTTGAGGATCTAAACTGGTAGATCCTTTTTGTATAAATATGCTTTATTAATTTGGTTTTGTTGCAGGTTTTCCCGGAGTGTAGCAGCCATGAGTATTATCGGCCACATTCTGGGCCTAGGTGATAGGCACTTGGATAATGTCCTTATAGATTTTTCCACTGGAGATATTGTGCATATTGATTACAATGTGTGCTTTGACAAGGGACAGAGATTAAAGATCCCTGAAATCGTGCCATTCCGCCTTACCCAGACTATTGAAGCAGCATTGGGGCTAACTGGCATTGAAGGCTCCTTTAGGGCGAACTGTGAGGCTGTTTTAGGTGTTTTGAGGAAGAATAAGGATATAATATTGATGTTACTGGATGCTTTTGTGTGGGACCCACTCGTGGAATGGACACGTGCAAATTTTCATGATGATGCAGCCGTGGTTGGCGAGGAAAGAAAGGGCATGGAGCTTGCTGTAAGCTTAAGCCTATTTGCATCGCGCGTCCAAGAAATCCGCGTTCCTTTGCAGGTTTGCATAAATAAGAACCACTGTCTTCAACATGGATCATCTCAAAACATTAGCCTAACATTTAAGTAAATTGGAATTTTGATGACTTCTGTATTTTGAAGAAAAATCTTAGTTTTGGAGGTTTTTAATCTGTGAATACTAGAGGCATGTTTCTCGGTACTGCACTCAAATATGTACACTTGATAACAATGAGCAACGAGATTGTTGTAGTAATTTCTAGCTGGTTCGTTTACTATTATAGATAAAATTGTTTGTTAGTGATGGAAGTCTCTGGAATATGTCTGCCAATTTTTCTTTCTGGAGATTTGACACAAAGCAATGTGTTATCTTAATTTGAAACTGACTTATTGTCGCTTTTAATGTTGCCAGGAACATCACGATCTTTTACTCTCTAATTTACCAGCAATTGAATCAGCCATGGAGGTTTGTTACTATTGTCACCATATTGTTCTATCTCAAGTTCTATGAATTATTTGAACTTACCTGAGTTTTAAATCATGTTAGGGGTTCACCAGCATTTTAAACCAGTATGAGATTGTATCGAGTCATTTCTATCATGCTGACCAAGAGCGGTCTAACCTTGTTCAGCACGAGTCATCTGCAAAATCGGTTATTGCTGAAGCTACTAGTACTTCTGAAAAAAGCCGTGCCTTGTTCGAAATACATGTTTTAGAATTCACTCAGGAACAGGCTATAGTAGTGGAGAAAGCTCGAGAGACAGCAACCTGGATTGAGCATCATGGGAGGATTCTTGACGCTTTAAGGAGTAGTTCAATTTCAGAAATTAAAGCCCAGATAAAGCTGACTGGTTCAGAGGAAGCTTTGTCTCTTTCGTCTGCTGTTATAGCGGCTGGAGTTCCATTAACTGTAGTTCCTGAACCCACACAAATTCAGTGCCACGACATCGATAGAGAAGTTTCTCAGTTAGTAGCTGAGCTGGATCATGGGCTTTCTTCAGCAGTTGCTTCACTCCAAATGTATTCATTGGCTCTGCAGAGGATCCTACCTTTGAATTACCTCACAAGTAGCCCAGTCCATGGTTGGGCACAAATTTTGCTATCTTTGAACAATGTATCATCTGATGTTATAGCAGTTGCCCGAAGGCAGGGTGCTGAACTTGTCAGCGATGGACACACTTATAAATTAGACTCTGCTAAGAGCAATTATGATGATCTTTGCTTCAAGGTGACAAAGTATGCTGCAGATATAGAGAGATTGGAGAAAGAGTGCGCAGAACTTGCGATCTCCATTGGCCCACAGACTGAATCAAAAACCAAGGAGCGTCTTTTATCTGCTTTCATGAACTACCTGCATCGTGCAGGTTTCGAGGGGAAAGAGTCATCCATTCTTTCAGGACCAGGGGTGCATGAAGGAACAGTGAACACCATGCTTCATGGGGAGATTGAAGAGAAGAAAGAAAGGTTTCGAAATGTTTTAGATACAGCATTGATCAATCTGTTTTCTGATGTAAAGCGCAGAATACATAATTGTATGGATTACTTTGGAGGGGAAATAAATACAAACAGAAGCTCGCGGTCGGATCTTGGATCCTTTTTTTGTGAGTTTGAAGCGCAGATAGAAAACTGTGTACTCCTAACAGAGTTTCTTGATGAGCTAAAACAGCTTGTCGGCCTAGATGTTAGTGACACTGATGCAGATGCAAATAGTTCTAATGCGTCACATGGAAGCTGGGCTTCTATTTTCAAGACTAGTATTTTATTTTGTAAAAACCTTGTTGAGAATGTGACTGAAGTAGTTATACCCAGTGTGATAGAATCTGTTATTTCATCCAATTCTGATGTTATGGATATCTTTGGATCCATCTCCCAAATTCGGGGATCTCTAGACACAACACTCGATCAGCTTATCGAGGTTGAGCTAGAGAGAGTTTCTCTGGTTGAACTTGAGTCTAACTACTTTCTGAAAGTAGGTCTGATCACTGAACAACAGTTGGCTCTTGAGGAAGCTTCTGTCAAGGGTAGAGATCACCTATCCTGGGAAGAAACTGAGGAGCTTGTATCTCAAGAAGAAGCTTGTAGAGTGCAATTGGACAAATTGCATCAGGCATGGAACCAGAAAGATCTGCGAATTTCATCACTTATGAAGAAAGAAGCAAATATCAGTAGTAGTCTGGTGAGTTCTGAACGCCAGTTGCAATCTCTCATTACTACTGAAGAAGAAAATGAATCACATATCTTGAGAAGAAAAACACTTCTGGCAGCCTTAGTTGAGCCTTTCTGCGAGTTGGAATCTGTTGATCAAGCAATGATGTTATCTGTCGGACCTGTTTCATATAGCTCAATTAGAATTCCTTATCTTGTTGACTCGATAAACTCAGGATGCTCAATATCTGAGTATATATGGAAGTTTCCTGGTTTACGACGCAGTCATGCCTTCTTAATTTGGAAGGTTTTTATGGTGGATCTTTTGCTTGATTCCTGTACACATTATATGGCTACATCATTTGATCAAAATTTAGGATTTGATCAACTTCTTGATGTAGTAAAGAAAAAGGTTAGAAGCCAATTTCAGGAGCATATCAGTAAATACTTGAAAGATAGAGTTGCTCCAACTTTTTATACCAGATTAGACAGAGAAATAGAGATTCTGAGGCAGAGAACAGAGTCAGGTAAAGATATTTCAACTGATGAAATTCAAAAGGATTTTGTGGATGTTAGAAGAGTGCAACTCATGCTTGAAGAGTACTGCAATGCGCATGAAACTTTCAGATCGGCAAGATCAGCAGCCTCCATCAAGAAAAAGCAGGTTAATGAACTTCAAAACGTACTTCTCAAGACCAGCTTGGAAATTGCTCAGATGGAATGGATGTACAATATCACCTTGAGACCCTTGGAAATTGATAGGCTGATTTCTCATAAATTTTGTGCAAATGATGATAACTTATTACCAGTTATACTCAACACCAATAGGCCAAAATTGCTTGAGAGTACACGATCTTCAGTTGCACAAATAGCAAGGTCACTGGAACGCCTGCAATCTTGTGAAGGAATTTCTGTCACAGCAGAAGGGCAGCTTGAGAGGGCAATGAGCTGGGCTTGTGGGGGTCCGAATTCTAGTTCTTCCGGAAATGTTCAAGCTAGAAATACAGGAATACCTCCTGAATTTCATGATCACTTAATTAAGCGGCGAAAGTTGTTCCTGGAAGCTCGAGAAAATGCATCAGACATAATGAAAGTTTGCATCTCTATGTTGGAGTTTGAGGCTTCAAGAGATGGCATGTTTAGGTCTACATATGAAATATCTCCTCTGAGAACTGGAGCAGATGGTGGAATGTGGCAACAGTCTTACCTAAATGCAATAACGAAATTGGATGTTACCTATCATTCTTTTATACGTCAGTATAATGTCTTTTTCTTTGTCCAAAATTGCAGTACAAGTCAATACAATCTTACCGACTACTCTGTCAAGTTCTCATTGTTTACTCGTCTTTTTCCTACAGGGGCTGAGAAAGAATGGAAGCTTGCACAACACAATATGGAAGCAGCTTCTAGTGGTCTAGTTTCTGCAACTAATGAACTTTCAATTGCTTCAGTAAAAGCAAAGTCAGCATCAGGTGAAATGTTAATCCAGTAAAGATGACTAAGCAACCAACTCTACATAATGATAGCCAGTACCCGAAATATTTGGATATTAATCTTAAAAAGTTTTTATATAACCGCTTCTGCTCTTATAGATTATTTCGAAAATGTGATTTTTGTCTTCTTTCACCCTGCTCTATTTTTTAATTTATATCAGGTTATAAGCAGCCACCTGACTTGACAGTTCTCAACTTCTAGTAAAGTGAAAAATCGACGCCTGATGTTTCTCTTACTTTTTTTTGTCAATTTTGGTGTCATAAATGGAGAGATCTTAATCTCCTCAGTATAATGAACTTGTAGTAGATTTTTCAAATGACATGATTTAAGATCCTTGGCATCTTGTAAGATTATCAAAATACTCAATTGTTAAATCTTGACTGAGTGCACGTTGGAGTGCTGATTCAATAACCATTTCCTGTGTATCGCTGAGAAATTTTGCAGAATTGTTAGGTTATAAGGCACTTCATGAGTTATTAGTGGCTTTAATATGTCCGAGTTACAGTTGTTCAATTTCATCTGGTGCAGATGATTTGCAGAGCACACTTCTTGCATTGAGGGTCTCTGCCCATGAAGCCAGTGTTGCATTATCTTCATACAGGGACATTATTGGAAGCCATAGTGCGCTGACTTCTGAATGTGGTTTCATGCTTGAAGAGGTATGTAATGTCTTTTTAAGAATTGCAGGTCTATGATATTGATTTGAGTCGAGTGTTAAGTGCCAATGAAAAGTAAAAGTAAAATATTGGCAACGAAAGATACTCTATAAAAATTAACTAACTATTGACAATCAACTTCAGGTGAGTTCATGAATATTCCATCAATATGACCCACCTTTGCACTAGCTCCAATCGAGTGTTTGGCATATAAGTCTGACTCTGGATAACATAAACATGCTTTGACATATAGTGGCCATTGGCATTTCAGCTGCCATTTTCAATATGTTTTTAAATACTAGTTGGTCTGAAGAAATGGAAACTGGCAATCAGTTTCATTTTATACTTGTTGTTTAGGTTAAGAGGGATTCTCAGCAGTTTATGTTCAAGTTAGATAGGTTGTAAGATATGTGAGAAGGTGCTGTGATTTGGTTCTTATTATGCACACGGAGTGACCTTTCATTAGCATAAATGGAAAGACAGTTCTGCATTTTCATCAGAAAGTGTAAACACAAGCTGGTACAGGGTATTAGCCATTCATCCTGCATCTTTATAGCTCCCAACTGATGTATTCATGCTCTCTTATTCAGTTTAAATTATAAAACTATGAAATGACGTTGATAAGCCGATTGGCAGTTTTATTTCATCTTGTTTGCCCTTGAACACAATTGCTATGGATGGGGACCGAGATAAATACACACAACACATAGTACAGAAACACACACCCTGAAGAATGAGACAGATTGTATGCTAATATTGGAGTCTGTTCGCAGGTCTTGGCTATAACAGAAGGATTGCATGATGTTCACAATTTGGGGAAAGAGGCTGCCGTCTTACACTCTTCTCTTATGGAAGATCTTTCAAAGGTACACTGTTGTGACTAATAGTTTCTTTTGCTTGTTCGGTTGCTAATTCTCTTTTGTATAATTAAGTGAAGACCGTATTACGTTTAACTGGTCATTCATTGCAACCTGAATAGGCTAATGCAGTCCTCCTCCCACTTGAGTCCCTACTGTCGAAGGACATTGCTGCTATCACTCATGCTATGGATAGAGAAGAAGAGAACAAATTGGAGATTGCGCCCATTCATGGACAAGCCATATTTCAGTCTTATCATAATAGAGTCAAGGAGGCTTTACGACTGTTCAAGCCTTTGGTTCCATCTCTTACATTGTGTGTCAAGGGTCTTTACTCCGTGCTGACCATGCTGGCGAAGGCTGCAGGTCTTCATGCTGGCAATCTTCACAAAGTAATGATATGGATACAATTGTTATTAACTGCATGATTTGTGGTATATTCTATGTACTGATACTAGGCTATTTTTTTTTTATTATCCAGGCTCTCGAAGGAGTAGGTGAAAGCCTGCAAGTTAAGTCACAGGACATTGATCCGTTGAGGGCAGATGTTACCGGGGCTGGACCTGAGTATGATGATGCCCAGGAGAGTCGCATGTTTATCAGATCTGATGGTGAAAATGATGGGAATTCTGTTGGTTCAGGTGAACTGGCTTTACTAGATAGTGGATGGATATCTCCACCAATGAGCATCACTAGCAGCACCACAGAGTCGGGTGATACATTTGCTGAGGCAAGTCTTGCAGATAGCTTCAGTAATCGTGATGTGACAGGTGGCTCTGCAAGCCAGGAGAAAGGAGATTCTCTGGATTACCTTACATCAAATGTGACTGAAGTATTGGAATCGCCCATTGGGGAAACAGATTCTGAAAATAAGCAGGTTTTTAATAGCTATGCTATCTGTCATGGAATTTTTATATGTGTCCTTTTCAGATGATTTATTTTGCAGTACCTATAGACCTCTCTTCTTTTTTATCAGGAAAACTCGGATTTGGTGCATAAAGATGCAGAACCTGTGTTAAACCAAGACAAAACTGAGGAAGAATTAGGGAGAGCCTTCACTAATTTGGAGACTGTCAGTCAATCACACACGGGTAAGCTAAATTCTTCCGCTGAAAGTATACTGTAACTTCCACTTTTAAACTTCAACTTAGCTTACTTGCAGTAAACACTGCATATGGAACAATGTTTAGTTTGAGGTTTGCAAGTTAGTATTTAGACACGTTTAATGTATTTTGACATATGTTCATGCACATGAAGATGCCCACAACAGAAAAAAATCTGATGCCCTCCCAACCCCAATCTCCATCTCCAAAGACGCACACACACACACACACACACATAATACAACATAAAGAACCTCCAAGGTTTTATAAATTATGCAACTTCAGTTGAGTACTACCTTGTCTGAATTACTTTTTTCCCGCATATGCTTTGAAATTTTACTAAAATGCAAGTTTGGGGCGTGCAGGCAAAAATGCTTATGCTGTATCACTCTTAAGGCGTGTAGAGATGAAACTTGATGGCCGAGATATCAGTGATAACAGGTATCTGCTTCTTTTTTAGTAATGCATGGTAAAATATGTGTCGGTAAACTTGATGTATTGACATGCTGTGCTAATATGTGTCTCTCAGGGAAATTAGCATAACAGAGCAAGTAGATTTTCTGCTCAGGCAAGCAACAAATATCGATAACCTTTGTAATATGTACGAAGGTTGGACGCCTTGGATTTAATCCCAGGAAAAAAAGACTATTCGTTTGTGCCCCCACTAAGTCTTCCATGGAGCACTCCAAAGAAATGCCTTCTCTATCGATGGAACATATATTGTTCAAGGAGGTTCTTATATGGAGGCAATGCTGTTCTGGATTGGAAGATTCTAGTACAGGCAGATAAAGATTGGAGGGCTCCCCATGGAACAAATTCAGCCCGTCTTGTGGTGGGAAATGTTCTAAAGAAAGTGTACTGTGCCCTTATCAGTCATTTCACGTTGTTCCCCATTCGGAAAAAAAAGGGTTGAGATTGTATCGGCTGGAGATGCTGTGTCGGGATTGTGAAGTGCATAATCAACTTGGGTGAAATGAAGGGCTCACAAAGTTAACGAGCGAATGTGCGATACATCGAGATGATTGAAGCATTTGAAGTCCTTTTTCCTTTGAATATTGTGATAATCAAGTTGCTCCTGTGCATTGTATGTGATTGGTTCTTGATCACTCAGTTTGAAAAAAGAAATAAGACAGTAACTTATATTCTTCGTTGTTTTACCGTGTCGAGCGGAGACTAATTTATTAGCAATCTATAAAATATAGTTTTCTAGTTGCTCTGATTTATTTCTCAAGAGAAAAAATAAGATGCAAATTATTTATAAAATTCAAGAATATAAAATAAATATACTTTGGAGTTGCGGGGAATCGAACCCCGTGCCTCTCGCATGCGAAGCGAGCGCTCTACCATATGAGCTACACCCCCTTTGTCAACGTTGTCTCAGTAGTATATTTATTGAACATATTCAATAAGTTTACCTTGATAGAAAAATCTTTAGTCAAGCATCACTGTGTATATCACATTATGGAGGCTAGCCACTCAATTTTGATTGCCTTACAATGTTGACTTATTGACCAATAATATCTGTATAGTATGTATTCCCCCTTTTTTTCTCTCTTCTTTTATTCCTTTTCCTTTTTCTTTGCCAACTCATCACTGCCAAAAAACAAGCAAGATATTTTGCTTCCCTTTGGGCCAATTGAAGTGTTTATTTTTGTCCTTTTTATTACAACCACCAAAACAAATGAATGGACTGTGAATCTTTAGACATACACATATGGTCATTCTCTAACCACTCATCACACACCATTTCTTTTTTACCTTCTGCAATACACACTTACAGTGAGATAAAAAAAAAATGCCGAATCTATTTTCCGGAATATTCTCGGAACGTTACACGTTACAAGTAGGGCCTCCACACACTGATATTTTTGATACACCACCACACAACTCCTTTGCCCTCAATGCCATCATGTATCTATATATAAAGCAGAACCAATGCACTTCAATGTTCATCAATCTTTACATCCATATATATAATATTCCATCAAGAATTCAAGAAAAGAAAGAAAAAATAAATGGCAGCTGTAGCTGACGTGTGCATGGGAGAGTTAGCAAAGCTAAGCGAAAAAGTCCGAGCAAGAAATCTGTTCTCGTTGAAATTCTCGAAAAGGGAAGCTACTCACAAAGTAGGAGAGACCAACGAGTCGAAAGATGCTAATGCCACCAGATGCGAGGATACTATGGCGGAAACAACCGTTTTACTGCTCATAGATCGGTGGTGCGCCCCCTGTTAAGAATTCAAGAAACTCGATAATATTATCGCTGAATTGTTAGTTCATGTAATGAAAAAATATATACCAATGTATGTATATCTTTGTGTAAGAATGTTTCTCTAGTATATGTAATATATGAAGAAGCTTTACTTTCAATTTCATTAAAAATAGGGTAAATTACAACCACCCCTGAGGAACGGTCAAATTACGAAAAAACCCCTCTTGTTTGGATAATTGCATCTACCCTTCAACTATGATTTTTTCATAGACCTCCACCCTTATGGTGTCAAATTCAACATAATCATCTAGATTCCATGAAATGTGTGCTCTAATTTGTACTCGTTTTGTGTAAAAATACAGTTTCTGATGCACCACAATATGATATATACAAGCCAAAAAACACATCTTATGATCATCTTGCTTTAAAATGTGGAACTCAAATGGGATAAAACGGATACAAAAGTGATAATATTCCATATAATCAAAAAGATTCCACTAAATTTGAAACCGCAAGAGTGGACGTGTAAGAAAATTTATAGTTGAGGAGACTTATTGTAATTACCCAAATAAGAGGGGATTTTCTTAATTCTACCGTACCTCAGGGGTGATTGTAATTTACCCTTTAAAATATAACCATGTTCTTACAAATATGGATATTGTTCTTACACCTTTTCACAGATACCTTTACAACTTCATCACACACATTTGACACAAGGCCTAATATCTTCATAGCCATGGTCATATTATTTGACCAGAAATTGCAAATGTGTGTATATATATACATACATAATATATATATGCTTGATTTTTCAGGGAGATGTGCTAGGCTCTGTGCTATCACTGGACCACTCATTCATATCAACAGTATGTTTTTCATCGGCCCACTTCACAATCTCTTTACCGTATCTAAGCGCTTTATCGATGCTATCAGCCTCCAATCCAGTGGCCCGTGACACAAACAATTTCCGGCCCGTTAAAGAGCTGAACACACTTTTGAACTTCAATGCAATATAATGAAAAGCCCGTTCAGCCAGAGGTGGGTTGTTGTTACTTTTGGAACTGTGCGGATGAAGGCTGAAAACGGGGTTGAAATCGTGAAACCATTCGCATTGTGTTAGAGGAGATTGTTCGATCTTTTCTTCTAGAAGGTCGAACTTGTTGAGTATGAGAAGGAAGTCTTTCTCATGCAGAGATGGATGAGTGGCGATGCACTCGAAGAGTGTCCTGGCTGCCAGCATCTTGTTTGTGCGGGTCCCGTTTATGTCTTCGTAGTATTCGTCGTATTCTGTTAAGGAGACGCAGTATAGGACAAGGTCAACATCTTCGAACATTTCCAACCATTTGCAGTTTTCTCCGAGGCCGCTTGCATGTACTCTAATGAGCTGGTATCTGCAAGAAAATGTCAAATAAGTCGATTTTAGATTTTAATATATTAAAAAAAAAAAAAATTAAAAAAAAAAAAAAAAAAAAAAAAAAAAAAGGACTCACTTTAATGATTGGTTGTTTTGATCCGAAGATTCCATGTACTCATCTTGAGAAGACTTTGGAAAGGAAAATTCCATAGATGCAATTCCGTTGGAAGAAGTTATGCCCTCGGCGTATAAGATATCCATTTCGGATGGCTCATAGTCTATCCGTGAAATTTCAACAGCCTATTTTTTTTTTAAATAGAAAAGAAGCTTATTATCACGAAATTGAATGAAATGAAATGAAATGAAACATCGTAAAGAAATATTGTGGGGCATAAAACGTACATGATCCAAGAAATAATTAGCAACTCTTGGCAGCATGTGCAGTTCGTTCCTCCGTTTGTAAATGGCTTGAAAAGCTCCGTCTTTCCACAACTCTTCGACTAAATGTGAATACTCTCGAGTGGCGGCTGGGAATATGGCATCTAAATTGCCTGAAGCCATAATTTGGATTAGCCAACTCGAGAAAGCCTCAAGCTTTGGACTGAGGGACAAAACTGTCTTTTCATCAACCTGGCAAGAATTACCTGCCACATATAAACGACTTTTAGAATCTTCGGATGGCAAGAAATTTTGGTTTTGGTTTATTATAATAACCAGGATATCACTTTTTATCGAATTTATCTGCATAAGTCCCACTTTCTTAAAGTTATTCACAAAATCACAATTTAAATTTAAACTTTTCGAATTTAATTACGCGTGTACCTGAAGGACCAGACTCATTACTATTTTGTTTCTGCATCTCTATCAAACGATCTTCTTCGAAGATCTCACGCCCCTCGAGAAGTATCCCGATGTATCTGTACAAATTTCTTTGAATCACGACTTTGATGCTTTGCTTCTCGTCTTCTGAAAAAGGCACATTATACAGAATTTTCGCCTGAAACCAACAAATAGTTAAACAGCTTCAGTATTTTTATCCAAAAAGTGAAAACAAAATTTGGTTTTTGCAACATAGTAGTAGAAAAGAAAACGGATGCTCCTAAAACAAATTACATAATATACGGCTAGCAATCCAGAGACTCGCTACTGAGCGAGTTAAATAAAATTTAAGCCCGTCTCAAATTATTACAAGTATTAGCAGATGCATACACAAAAGAAGCAGCCATATATATATGCTCATCAATTTTGACGTACCTGTTTAAATATCGTGCTAGTTCCAGATTGGTCACAGCCAATTAGGAGAAGCTTATTCATCGTGCTCTGTTCTACGTTTTTCGAATTAACTTTATCGTTGTTCTTGTCAACATCTTCATTACTAAGATTTGCAGTATCAGAAGGGTACGGCAAAGATAGAGCAGCACATAGCAGCCTCACCCTTTTCTGAACAAAATTAATTTCCGAGTTTCAAAATATTGTATTTTTTTTTCTTTTCGAGACAAACAACAGCAGCTGAAAAACAAATGCTTATTAAATGGTACCTTGTCCCATAATTTTCCCATTACATAATTCATGCCTTCATGCTGGTACGATCCATCTGGCGTAACCCAAAAATGTGTATTTCCTTCACAGTGAATTCCAGCAGCCTGCAAGAATCAAACAAAAACGTCATAATTAAAAAAATAAAAATTAAAAAGTTTAAGGATAAACAAACAAACCCTCAACATCCAGAGTTCTTCGGTAGTAATCTCTCGACTATTTATCAGCACATTCGTATTCCCATTACTAGCATCTTGCCTAATTTGATAACCAACAGGCAATAAAGCACTAATAATCTGGCTCGGCTTCTCTCCATCCTGCTTCATTGAACCAAAAGTATTATTTTCCGAACAATAAAAATAAAAAGGATAAACCCGACATAAATGATTTAAAAATTTCAGAAGTTTCACCTTCCCCCAAAATCCCGACATCTTATCGTACCAATATTTCCCTGGTCGGATCTTCTTCGGAGGATTAGGGCAGCTCTGCAACATAACCAACTCTTCCATCGAAAGAGCCCTATCGTTTACGTAGATAAGCTGCGGCGGCAGCTGATTAACTTCACATGTCATCTCCGAGCACATGATTTGCTTAATCGCATCGTCCGTGAGAAGCTTCCGCAGCATTCTAGAAGGTTTCCCGATTAATTCCCTTTTCGACTCGTCAATTCTATAACCGACGCAAGTAATGCATTTCCTCCCTTCTTGCATACACCCCATTGCTCTGAGCACACACTTACTGCAGTACTTAGCCCCACACACAATGCAGATTTCCTTCTCCGAAAACCGATTTTTTTTACGACACCTATGGCACAACCCTTTCTTCAACTCGTCGGAAAGCACCGGCTTTTCCGGAAAGATTGCAGTGGGCACACCATCATGATCACTATCTTCAGACACTAAATCATCATCATCGGTCAATGGCAAGTCTTGGTTCGAATTGGAAGCGGTGGGGTTCGGGCAATGAGCATACGAAACATCGGAGCTTTCCGACAAGTGATTCGATTCATTGAGACCATCGGAAAAACCTAGAGTACCGGAACTAGTAGAACTTTGAGCTCCGTTTCTGTCTGCTATTTCTGGTGTGAGATCAGTTGGCGGTACCTTTTTCGAGGTGTGATCGCTAGTTTGGGCAATTGGTTGAACAACTCGTAGGCACAAATTATTGGCCGGCAAAGAACTACCTGACGCCACCGTGGCGGTCGGAATCCGGCGAAGATCCACCGGAAACACTTGGGGAATATCCCGATTGAGTGGAGGGCCACTGTACTCCACGGCGAATGAGTACTGCGCACTAAAATCATCGTTTTTTGGTAAATTGCTCCTCAAAACACTGGGCATCTTAATTTAAACCACCTATATCTCCCAGATTCTTGAAAATTGATTAAAACCCAGAAGATTAATTCAACAGATGAAAAACCCCTAATACAAAATTGATTGACCTAAAAATTCAGTGAAAACCATAATTTTGAAAATGGAGGTTTTCTGGTCGTACGAGTGGTGTGTGTGTGTGTGTGTGTGTGGAGAAGACTTGGTGAGATTTGAGACATGGGTGGGAAGACTTGGAAACACAAAAGACTGATTCTTTGATCCAATTTTCAATCACCCAATTTTCTTCATCAACGCGTTTGTCGATTGCAAGAAATTTGACTCCAACCATTTTTTTATTTATTTTTTTAATTTTTTTATTTGATGACCAATCACCAATCAACGAGAGGCTGTTTCAGAAATTATACTTTTATATTAGTACGTAAATGGAGACGCATGCAGTTATTATTTTATATTTATGGGTAAATTTCAGCCACCAAGTTACGTAATATTAAATTACGAAAAAACCATTATATTTTGACAATTATAATTAATTTTCGCACACGTGTGGTCTCGTAATTTAACATAATCTTTTAAATTTTGTGGAATAATCTCTAGTTTGTACTCATTCAAAAATGCAGTTTCAGATGTACTACAATCTGATATTTACAAACCAAGAGACACATCTTATGATCATTTTGCTTTAATATGTGGAGCTCGAAATAAATCGGGTGTAAACTGCATTAAATGGTTCTTTCGTAATTTAACATTAGCTCAGGGGTGTTGACCGTAATTTTCCGTAGATTTTTTTTTAATAGTTACTTTTTTTTATTCATTGGAGATTGTAACACACAATAGATAAATATAAATCACATTAGACTTATGTCACTATACGTAATGAACTCGATCAAAATCGACGGAATTTAGAAATAAAGTTCGACTTCGCACCACTAATTTACCTCATAATTGATATAATAATAATAATAATATAACGTCAGCAAGACTTATAAAACACGTAAATAGAATATAAAAGTTTTGGTAGATCATTTTCATTTACACAATCACACATATTATAATAGTGGGATTATTTGACTTATTCCCAGCATTGAAAATATAATTATGGAAATTGGAAAAGATGATGGTGGGATATATGGGCTTCACACTAGCAACTATTCTTGTTTTTGTTTCAAATAAACAAGAATAAGTTATAAAAAAATAAAAATAAATAAAATAAAAGAATAATGCATATCCCATTAAATAATTGGGGGGAGATGTTCTAATCAACTTTCCTTGAAGTTTTGGGCCTCGGCTCAAAAAAATAACTTTATTTAACCCAATTGGCCCATGAAATTTATGAATCTCGACACCAAATTACAATGAAGCAATGTCTTTTTAGATAAGGCCCGTAAATCTGGGCGCTTGAAGACGTGCAGAATTTCTGACAACTTCAATAGATTGAGTAAGGAAGATCTTGATGATATCTTGATCAAAATGTTGATTAGAATATCGCGCACAGCGTTGAACGCAGAACAATATTAATTTTATTAATTAAGAAAATCATATTTTCTTGTCGGTTTTGCGAGCCTCATTTACTTGATTCGGATCACATAAACCTCGAATTGGGTGATATTTGGTAGAAATATATTGACTATACAATATATGATTTAATTAATTTATTGGGTCCATCTAAACAAAAGATTATTAAAAATGAAAACAAGATTGTATTTTAATGTGTAAATAATAAAATATTGAAGATATATAGGGATGGCAACGGGTCGGTTCTGGGCCGGGTTTGCCTAAACCCAAGACCCGACCCACGAAAAATATATAAACCCAAGACCCGCCCCAACCCGCTTAAGCTTAGACCCAGACCCGCCCCAACCCAAACCCTAACTAAACGGTTCCGACCCGCCAGACCCGTTAGACCCATTAACATACAAAAAGTTTAATATTTTTTAACTTTCATAACATTTTGCTTGTATATTTTTACGAAATAATCTCAATACTAAAATACAATATTTTAAAAAATCTCTTCAAGTGTCATAACATGAACAATAAAATTACAATTAATTATATTTAACTTCGATAATACGTAAAACTCAAAATGGAAGACAATTAGCGGTGGTCGACAAGTCATAAATATTACTCACGAGAAATGAAAATCGAAAAATAAAACAGTGAAAATAGGTAAATGAGAATAGACAAGATGGAAATTGATAGTTTGATAAATGAAAATCGAAATTATATATATATATATATATATATATATATATATATATATATATATATATATATATATATATATATATATATATACGGGTCGGTTCCGGGTCGGTTCCAATAAGACCCGTAACCCGACCCAGAACCATCCGGTTCTAGAATCTTAAACCCATTACCCGCCCCAGAACCATTTAGCTGACCCAAACCCGCCCCAAACGGGTCGGTTCCGGGTCCAAGACCCGCCAAACCCGTACCCATTGCCATCCCTAGATATATATACGTGACAAATAAACCAAACCAAACCAAACCAGATCCACAATTACTACTCATAATTACATAATTAATTAATTCACCAAAATAAACATTCAGTTTTGTAAAGTAAACTGTCTGTATGTATGTATATACATAGACATTAGATACACACATGATAAAATAAAATAAAATAAAATCTCTAATGTTAAGTCACAATCTATCAGGACCATAGTATTTTTCCCCATTACTTCATTTTTCTAACCTTTACGTAAAATTTTATCATTGTACTTGCATTTGCATGTGTGAACCCGCGTGACCAAACGCGCCAGCTCTTTCTGTCTTGTCTTTGTCATGTCAACCACTTCTGCCACCTTCTACGGCGGCGCGTTTCAACGACGCGCTTCTTGCTCCTAGCTCTACCTACTCTTCCGACACACTCCAAACCTTAACGCTCTTGTCCAAACTTCCACTGTAAACAATCCACTTCTTGTTGTCCTCACTTTCGTCCTCCTCCTCATCCTCCGCCGCCGCCACGGCCAGGCACTTCACCGGACCGGTATGCCCAGTCAGCACCGCCAGGAACGAGTGCCCACCGCCGCCGTCCCTCCGCCACACGCAGATACTTTTATCCGCCGATCCACTCATCACCAAGCTCCCGCCCACCGCCAGACAAAGAACCGCCTGCTTGTGTCCCCTGAGAACGCCGCCGTGGAGCATGAAGTGCTTATCCCTCTCCCAGAAGCTCACCAGCCCGTCGGAGGACCCCGCGTAAAGCGCCCCCGCCGACGCGTCACTCACCGCCAGCGA